TTTACTTAGCCATGGCGCTCCGCTGACGCGCGCTACGTGCGCGCGAGAGCTCGGCTAATAAATAAAAGCGTGGATGACAAAAAAGGCAAGAAGACAAATACATGCACCATTATCAAAGCAAATGAAATTATATTATAAGGAAAGTACCTCAGATAAATTGATAGCTCTTTTTACAAGGGACAAAAATTTCCAATTAATTGTTGTTATTTGTTTAGTTTTCCTCTTCTTACCTCACTTCTAACATGACGTAAAAATTGAGAAAAAGGACGTTTTCACGTGCTATGCTTTTTATTCACGGGGAAGAAAAACAGGGAAAAAGTACCTTGTTTTAACTAATGCTTTTGTTTGCTACCCCGGCGATTACAAATAGCTTTTCAATCTCTTTCTGTTAGTAGTTTTATATGAACTTTACACTTTTTTTATTGCTCGATAATACATAGTGTAGGCTGACTTTCACGGCAATTTCGACTTTGAGAGTCAAATATCAGCATTGTCGTGTTTTAAAAACAAAGATTGTTTATTTTCGGCTCAAAAGGACCTGACTATCCTTGCAAATAAGTTTGCAAAGTATTGAGGGTCAACGTATGAAATTGTTTGTTCAAACAAGGTGAAGCGCTAGACAGTGCCGGTAAGATTACATCATTTAAACACATACATCAGTTTCAAGAATCTGGGACATTTTCATTGCATTTACAGTATACGCAGGTCGACCGGGCATCCTTTTTTATATCGTCTCAATACATAAAGTGGCTTTCCGGGAGACCAAACAGTTTAAAAATTTGTTTATATTAAGAACAGGCAGGGGATAAAGCCCATAGGTCATATAAAGAGGTCCTTGGTTTGGAATCATATCAGGGGATGTTACACTGTCTTGTGTGGGTGCTTTTTGTAAAATATACAAACTGCTTCTATATTTAATTTCTGGTTATGAGCGTTATGAGCGTAGTTTCATTTACGTATAAGCAAAATATTATTCTCAGCCAAACACAGTTGGATGACATTGCGCATGAGCAGACCATTATTTGTAGGCAGTTATTTGCAAGTCACGTGGTGGCTCTCAGCCATTGTAATGAAAGAACAATTTCCATCGAATGCCCAATGAAAGTTTTCAAACACACCCCAAACGTCCTTTGAATTGTTTTTCAAACACATCTCACACATCCCATTGACAATGGTGCAAAAACTGAACTCCACATATCCCATAAAAGCTAAAAGCTGGACCACCCCACTACGTGCGTCCCATCCTGTTCATTGGTTGGTTTGATTGTTTTTGAACAGCGGTTTTTCCGTGTCATGTTTCTTCATTGTGAAATAGAGTAAGAAACGGACAAGGTAGTCAATTAGCAAAACTTGCCCTATCAAAAATAGTTTCAAATATGGGAACGACTGAGGGATTTTAAGTTTGGTTTGAAGAAATGAGAGGTATGCCCTGTTCACACTAATGCGTTTTCGTTTGAAAACGCATACATTTCGATTCGTTTAGGCCTTCCGTCCAAACTAATACGCCGTGCGTTTTCATCGAAACCGCATCGATTTGAAAACGCTCTTGAAAGTGGATCAGAACGAAAAAGCATTCATATCTTATTAGTGTGGACGGTCAAAAACGGTCGAAAACACATCAAAGAGAAAACGATAACCGAAAATATCGCAGGCGCGTGTGTTTATAGCATGCCCATAGAGTGCAACGTACATCACAACGTGGCAATTCTATCGTTTTCGAAAGTTTTAGTGTGGACAGTCGAAAACGCATCAAAACGGTACTTGGTGTGGACGCAAAACGATCGACAATTTTCGATGAAAACGAAAACGTATTAGTGTGGACAGGGCCTTAGTAACAATGCGGTCCTAGAAAGGGTGTGGTCGTTAAAGGGGTGCTTTTGCACTCGCCTCGGTAGTAACCGGCGGCGTCGATGATCGCAAGTGAGACCTCTCGCCTGAGGCTATGCTACGCTAATGAGTCCTAATGAGGACGAAACAGCTGTCCATGGCTGCCACTACTGGGGGTGATATGGTTGTGCGCATGCGTAAGGTACTGGCCATACCACGGAGTTGATAAGTGTGCTTCAGTGCGTAAATTGGTATTCTGGTCGTTAAGGGCGGGATTTCACAATATTGACAATGGGAGGTCCATAAAATAGGTAAATAACTTTGAAAACAATTTCTGAATGAATAAAGTGAGTAATACCAATTAGAAAAACTAGTGTTCCATAACAATAAACATCTTGTGAAAGGTTTAACCTACGAGTCATTTCAAAAGTAGGTTGAGTTTAATCGTCCGGGTGAACGTAGTCCTGAATAGGACTGTTGTTGTTGACAGTGACTGACGTTTCGACAACCTGTGCGGTAGTCATCTTCAGAGTCAAAGTGAGTTGTATCACGTCCGTTGATGGTATTATACTCTGGTTATTGTTCTGATTGGTCAATTACGTCACGATGTTACTGGTCGTCTGTCAGTTAAGCCGTGATGTTATTGGCTATGAAGACTCGTAATCAGTAATTGGTGCGTTATGATCCGTCTATTGTCACAGTTAAACAGTCGTCTATTGTTAGTCAAATTGTCAGTTCTCCAGTCGTTCTCTCGTAGTTAGTTTTGCTTGATCTCGTCAATAAGTCGTTTGTACGGCGCTGGTAACTGTTGGCTACGATTCAGTGGCGTTTGTTGTAAGTTAGTAAACCAGCTTTCTTAAGTAAGACGTTGATAGTAGTCTGTAGAATACCTTATACATGTCGCAAAAACCTAAGCACGCGACTGACCTAACACAAACGAGCGACGAGGAATGGTGACGTCAACAATCACATTGCTGAGCACCATTGAAAGACGAAACATCAAATTGACTGGGACTCTCCGACATGTATAACGTATTCTACAGACTACTGCGTCTTACTTTAGAAAGCTGGTTTACTAACTTAGAGGAAACGCCACTGAATCGTAGCCAACAGTTACCAGCGCCGTACAAACGACTTATTGACGAGATCAAGCAAAACTAACTACGAGAGAACGACTGGAGAACTGACAATTTGACTAACAATAGACGACTGTTTAACTGTGACAATAGACGGATCGAAACGCACCAATTACTGATTACGAGTCTTCATAGCCAATAACATCACGGCTTAACTGACAGACGACCAATAACATCGCGACGTAATTGACCAATCAGATCAATAACCAGAGTATAATACCATCAGCTGACGTGATACAACTCACTTTGACTCTGAAGATGACTACCGCACAGGTTGTCGAAACGTCAGTCACTCTCAACAACAACAGTCCTATTCAGGACTACGTTCACCGATCAAACTCAACCTACTTTTGAAATAAATATCTTATCAAAGTGTACTCTTTGCCATGTTTATGTCCTGGCCTCGTTTTTCCGGCCATTCCTGGCCGATGACAATAAGTTCCGGTGTACCCTCTCCTCCGTCAATTATTGGCAGATGTGATGGTGGTTTACCAATATCTACAGAAAACAAGATATGACAGATGTCAAGAGGTAAGCTAAGGGCAAACTGCTTCTGAGAAAATAAAGGCGACGATGGTGATAATGATGATAATCTTGATCATCTTCATGTTGACACGAGTCAACAGATAATGATAAAGATCACAAAGGTTAGGATGATGATGATGATGTTCAATACAAATGCCATTATAGTGATGTTGATAATAGGCCCTTTGCAGGTAGCCATTCACGTGGTACAAAAACCGCCATGCTGGAGAACAATAGTCGGTTTTGTACCACGTGAATGGCTGGCTACAAAGGGCCTATTATGATGATGTACTTCAAAGGTGCAGAAGATCAGATTTGAATATATGTAGCAACAACCCCCTAAACCTAAACCTTACTTTGCGTACGAATCATTAATCTGTCAACGTCAGTTTGGCGGACGGAAATAAGTGTTCATAACGGATAAGGAAAAAATTTAAAAGTCAATATGGTGGTGACAGAGGTAATGCTAATGACCACGCTGTTCAAAATGGACAAAGAATGCGATCTAGGAATTTCAAGTCAGTTATAGTACCATAACTTAGTGCCTTATCGCCAAGCACATAGACTCAAGGACCAAAATTGGTGTGAAAAATCAGTGGCGGATTCAGACCTTCCGACAACGGGGGGGGGAACGGTCATCCAGACCCTATGATAAGGGGGGGCCCGGTCTCAAAAATAATTTTTTCGGCCCTTCGGACCTCATTTTGGTCTAAAAATAAGGGGGAGCGGGTCCCCCGGGCCCCTCCCCTGGATCAGCCACTGAAAATGATTGTCTAAAGCACACAGACGTGGTTTAAAAACTCGAACGCATGCTCATACTTGTTCGAAAGGCCCATCTAAAGGTGCCCGTGTTCTCATAGTAGAGACCTTTAGATTCAAGGACGAGAACGACTACGAGTACGAGATTTGACTCAAAGTTTTCTCGCGTATTCCCAAAATAAAGACACCCCGGAAAGCTTCATTTTCCCATTTTTCAATAGAAAAGTTAGCACTGTTACCTTTAGTGAAGGAGGTTACGCGCTCTCCCGATCACAAAAATGATAAAACTTCCAACATTTGATAACTCGTTTTCCCCACTTCGACATTCTCGCTAAAATTCCCTTCCTCTCTCAATGGAGTGACGACGGCTACCACGTTTTCCCGCCAAAATGACGCTGGTTCACGCGCCAGCCCTACTTAGTACTGAGAAAATCTCGTACTCGTAGTCGTACTCGTCTTAGAATCTAAAGGTCTCTAGTGGGAACAAGTAAAACGGAGGCAGCAAGATCGAGCGGTAGGACCACAAGATCAGACTTGTAATACGGAGGTAACGAGTTCAAATCTCGCCCTGACCGCTCATACTACCTGTTCTCGGTAGTCCCGAGTTCAAATCGTTGACGTCGCTTGTAAAATAGCCAACTAGTTCTCAACCATGATTTGTTCCATTTAAATTATTATTTTGTTTCATTATCCCTGATAACCCCATAAGTGGAGAGAATAAGTTAGTATTTCATTAAAAAGAGGGTAGAAATGCTAACAAGTACCAAGATGCCTTGATATAAAGGCCCAAACAGCCCTTCTGTGGAGACCAACTGCGGTGGATGGATCAAGCTTGCTACCAAGGGATGTCATGCGCAAAATATATGGTGGTAGAACGGATGGAATGTCGCATTGATTCATGTGTTTGGTCCACCTGCGATAAATAAGTGCAAAAGTTAATTGCAAAATACGTATTCGACTGCTATGAGAAAAGAAGATCATTAGTTGTTTAGGTTAACATTGCTCGTAGTTCCACTAGTGTGCAATTTGTGTTATAATTTTAAATTATTTGGATAAAGTTGATATACATAGGACTGTATAAGACTCCAAATAAAACATTGTCTTGTCTTGTCTTGCCTAAATAAATTAGTCGTCAGTCTTCCGCGAGAGCGACGCACATCAACCGGAAGTGAATCCTTTTCCCTTTTAATATGCCCTGAGGCTGCCAAATTTGTATTGCTAAGTGTCTTTACTCTGATAGAGATGATCTGCTGGAATACTTGTTCAAAATCACGGTCCAAGATTGCAAAAAGCCCCCTTCAAGTTGACATGCGTCGCTCAAAAACGCTGTGGCTTAAACTACCTATTACAAGTACACTGACTGGCCACGCAACAAAATTAACTGAATACCAAGACCAGGTTTCTTGGTCAAAGAAAGAGTACGCTTACCTTATGGCTATAATAGGCCGTTGATCTGCAAGAGGATGGAACCTCACGATCAATGAAGTAACTTGAAAGGTTTTATGTGCATTTTTAAAGAAGTATAGAGTCTTTCTTCCAATTAGTACTTATAATTCCAGTGTTGAAAGTAAAGAAGATGTCACTTAGCGTTCTCAGTTTAACGGGGACAGAAGGCAGAAGTTTTATCGTAACGTGTCAGACACAGGTGAAGTCGGTGAAAGGAAAACTGATTCGTGAATTAAATGTGTTGATGTACTCCTGTCAAGTCATTCTCGTTCTGTGATAAGTAATCAATAAAATAAATATCTTATTACTCTCCTTTTCTCCGCCTGTGCTGCAGTTTAATATGGAGCATTATCTTCCCCTCGATTTAGGGGCGCACACTTCCTACAGTAGTTCGACTTCTCACTCGGTCCATCATTTTTACAGCGCAAATTTCAGATTGCGGCTATTCTAAGTTTGAAAATGAGTTACACATTTAAGGATTTGTCGGTTTCTCTACGAGACAAGTATAATAAGCCACTTAAAAGTCTAATGATAGCCTGCGTAGCAGGCGTCGAAAGGGGTAGGGGATAGGGAGGAAGGGAAAAAGGGAGGGGGATTCCCTTTCCCCCTTTCACGCTTTTATCCCTCCCCTTCCCTTTTTGCTTCTGCCACACAGGTAAGTTAATGACAGCCCTGTCTCATTCCGTGATTGTAACTTCTTCTTGTCTGCACTGCAGTTAAGGGATCCTGATTTTCCACCTCGGTTTATGGTCCACTAGCTACCTACTTAGTTCCCTGCCAGCAGAGGTCTCTGTCTGCCTCGTCTGGCAGAGGTCTCTCACGACGAGGCAGAGAGAGAGACCTCTGCTAGCAGGGAACCTGCTTGGGAACTTGCTCCGTAATTTACATCACAGACCTCGCAAACGATTAAACTGGCATCGATTACTGCATTTTTCACAAACATGCGAACTATAAAGTTCAAAAGCGGCTTTTACAATTGCGTTTTTCGCTGCTGTCAATAATGATTACGATCACAAGCAACTGACCTTGAAACACAAAATCCACCGAACACAAATCACAAACCATGACCTTTTGAACCCGTTAAAGTAAAGGTTTGCTTCCTAAGAGGTCCGTTAAGATGAATGACGGCAGCGCAAAATGCAATCGTCAGTGGGCCTTAGAACTTCAGAATTCGCATGTTTGTGAAAAGCGCAGTAATAAGAGGTTTCAAGGTAAGAAGGCTTACCTGGCTTTTTGTTTATGAAGTTTTTCAATGGTTCCATGTTTTCCTTCCAGCGATGGAAAGCTTGTGTGTTAATGAAAAACAAAGGTTGATCTACATCATATTTAAAGATCTCTTCTCCTAATGGTAACATCCACACATCCAGAGCGACACCACATCTGTACAAAACCACAATTAAATTAACGTCCATTCCTTGACGATTTTCTCCCAGCCTTAGACTACAAGCATTTAAGATCTCGAGTGGTGGGGGTGGAGAGGAAAAAAACACCACAGCTTCCCGCCCCCAACCCTGCCGGGACCTGGCTCACACGCCACAAGTTTTAAACAATTCATAGACTACTGTCTATGTCTCCAAAAGGGGGCGTTTATTAGATATACATGCTATTTCACAATTTCAACTGTCCACTACAGTGCTGCAACTTACATTATAATACACCTTACAAATGGTAAAAAAGAAATAACAAAAGGTGTTGCACTTAGCCTCGTTCAAAAAGAGAGAGTTTTTGAACCTCAGAAACGACCTACATTTTGGTTTTGTATTCTTCCCCTTATTAGCACATTTGGCAATTTTCAGTAGTGCACTCCTGGGTAACTTGATTTTGTCAATGTAAAGGAAACAGAGTAGGCAAGACAAACCCTCTTCAGTATCTCACACTAAATAACAGATATCGTAATGATTTAGAGGTAACACTACCACATAGTGGTTCTTTGCTTGCCATTCCTGGACGAACTGGAATTTGGAAAACTGGAGTACCTGAAGTAAACCTCTCAGGGAACCAACCTCATTCCCAGGGTCCTCTTCTACTCATCCCTGTGTAGCAAGAGAGAGGGTAGGAGAGGACCATGGGAACCAGGTTGTCATGGAACATGTGAGAGACCCAACAACAAACTCTGCAACACACCCATAGGGCATTGATGCTGGGATGTTACCCCAGGCCACACTGGTGAGAGACAAATGCTGTCACCACTAAACCACCCTCCTTTGTGCTACCCTTGCTATGGATATACTCAAGGACTTGATCCTAGAGTTCCTTACCTAAATCGCTTGTCTTTTGCCAGAGTCAACACTGTGGTAGCTCCTCCAAATGAGTGGCCTACAACTGCTACTTTACTCAAGTCCAACCTTCCCTTAAGTGGAAAAAAAATGTTACAACAACAGAGCGATTTTTTCCTACACTGACTGGTGAAAAAAGAACTATGGCTGATGAGGGCACGGACTGATAATGATGGTGACACAATTTGTGATTTTCCAAGATACAGCTGTAACTTCACCTGAAAAAGACCTCAAATATTTTGCATTGAAACCACTCGCCATTCCACTTGAATGAGTTTTCAGCATTTTTACAGCATTTCTATGCTATAAATTAGCGGTCAAAAAATTGTTGTCCATTTTTTTTTATGTTATTGAGTGAGAGACTTAGTGTGGAATAAAGTCAGATTATGATCTTCACAGTGGCCATCTTTGGGACAGAGGAAAGTGCCCATGGTAGGGTGGTGGCCACTACAGAGGTGAAGACACAAGTCAAACATTATTAGCAGTTGTGAAGATCAAGGGCAAACCAAAAGTAATTGGATACACAGGGAAGTATACTTGTAGGGTGGTAGCTATTGTAGATACAGGCCTTCTGATAGGGTGCGATAAAAAAGCAGAAATTAAGCGGCATTTTCAGGGCAGATTGTGCGATAAGATAGGACTATTATGCGATAAATTATGCAGTTTTTTCAGGGCTAAATAACATTGTTTTCTCAGGTTTCAAAGGAGAAAAATCACTTTAATGTTGTTTAACAGGCAATTTGAATGTGAAAGAATAATAAAACATCTATTTCAAAACAAGATAGTTAAATTTGTCCAATTATCTTGACCCAGAAAGAATACAAATTGGAGAAAAAGAAAATTAGGTTTCAGATGTCTTGCAAGGCTCTCTTTAGAGGTAAATCACCTTTTAATAACTAACATTAAGATTGAGAAATGTTTAATTAAAGGTAGAATTTATTGTTTTCCTTTCATGAATTTACCATTTTTTGTACGAATTATGTGATTTTTCACGAATTCTGCAATTGGAGGTCAATAACTTGCAAAATCGCAACATCCAAGAAAATATCAGAAGCCGGCGCTGTTTAAGACAGGTTAAAGCTTCTAGTGTCATTGAATCAGCTAGAGCAAAGAAAAGGAGCCATTGAAAAGAGGTGACTGCTAGTTGAGGTTTGACTTAGGCTAGTAATCCAGTCTAGGTTTGACTAAAGGGATGCAGTTCATCTTCTTGCACAAAACTTGTTAAAAGAGATAAATGTAGGGAGGTCAAGAGATCATTCAAATCGGAGCTTGCAACAGAACATTCATTCCATGCATTTTTTAAAAGAGAAGGGCAAAATAAGAAAATAGTTTTCCTTATAAATTTTTGTTCATGCATACATGTATGTGGTTATTAATATTACCAAAACAATCAATCACCTTGAGTTGTGTTAAAATGGATGAATCTTTGAACAAATTGTGAGGAAACTTTCCTGCATGAATTTTCTCTAGTAAGTTGTGAGCATATATACATTCATCTGCTCTTTTATGAACCTAAGAGAAAAAAAAAACGTTGCAAGAATATCACCATAAAATGCATCACTATTCTGTGTTTTCACTCACGTGGCCAGCATCTATGCAAATTTATTGGAACAAAAGAAAGCTAAACCAGCGCCGTAGCTAGTATGAGGCCAACCGAGGCACTCGCCTCGGTAAAATTTTGACGAATTTCGCCGATCATTTTTATTTTACATAAGCGATTATCGGATATTTTTAACGCATCATGATATTACAAAGAATTCAGCAATTCAGTCAATATACTATGAAAAAATTACCATATCATCGATCTCAAGGGGCTACGTACGTTAACTCAAATTTTTTTTGAACAAATACTGATCAAAACCATTGGCGAGGTTAACGGTCACCCAGATTATGTAGCTTGTTTCTGATTATTGCTTTTTAAATTCCACTTACATTAACTCGAAAAAAAGTTACCTAAAGGCCCAGAAAACGCTGCAAATCGCATTTCCGAGAGACTAAAGTTCAAAATTTCTTGGGGGGGGCATGCCCCTGAACCCCCCTAGCAACTCCCCCCTGCCTCGGTTGGCCGTTTGGTCTGGCTACGGCACTGGTTTACATAAGAAAAGAGTTCAACTCCCACAGGATTGGTTTGGGACACAAACATGGCCACCGTTTCATTGGTTTGGGACACAAATATGGCCGCCATGACATCATGTGAAAACACACAATACACACTTGCATAGGGCACCCAAATTAGCCCTTAGACTGATCTTAAAGAAATTTCACAAAACTATATAAAAAATGTCTACCACAGTTTACCAACCTGATTGTTTCTAAATTCAAACTCATTGTAACTTGGTTGCAGTGGGTGATATTGGATCCATTCTTCTGTGATTTCAGAGTCCTCTTTCTCTTTTAAAATATACGTTGCAGATGCTGACTCATCTCTAAAAACAAATTATTTTAACGAAAAACTTTAAAACATTGGCCTCTTTTATTTGATATCACCAAAAAATCAAATGTTGGCAATTTGCAAAGCAAATATTTTTTGTTAATATCACTACAAATTTTATGGGAGTTTTGTTTTTGCTCCCCTCGCCTGTTGACAACTGTCCAAAGCTAAGTTCATATCCTTTCTCATCCCAAATGAAAACCTTGACATAAGCTAAATCCTGGATCCCAAAAAACCTACAGTCCAATCCCGATAACTCTAACCTTCAAGGGAATTCGAAAAATAATGAATAGTTCAAGTTATTGGGAGTTCGAAGTAAATAACCGAAAATAAGGAAATGGGAGACAAAGAAGACAAAGAATGCATGGCTGTTAAAACAAATTCAATGATTCGGACTGCACTGCACTTTTTTTTTTCAACTAGTCAGGAGCTCAAAACATGGTTCGAGTTATCAAGGGTAAGTTGATACAGAAATGATCTGAAGGGAAATGAAAATTACTTTGAGGTTAGTAGCGGGAGGTTTGAGTTATCGAAGGTTTGAGTGACCAAGGGTAAAATTGTAGTAAATTTATGAAGGAATCCAGGGGAAATTGATTTTGGTTAGAGTAGCACGAGGTTCAAGTTAACAAGGGTTCGAGTTATAAAGAGTACGACTGGACTGTACATGCATTAGGGACCCTCATTAATTTAAATGACCATCTCTCTACAAAATTAATGTCACTTATATTATGCTGTCTTACAGCTGTGCATGCACGGTCACCTCTCTAAAAAGGTGGTCATTCTAAGGAGAGGCCATGAGAGGTTCCACTGGGTGTTACATAAAATTAAAAACGGTTGAACTCTGGCAATGTGGGTTATGACTTACATAAACTTAACTCTATCATCACAGTGTACATGGCTTACCTGTGTTCAACACATGCCACAAAACAACCATGTGAAGCAAGATCACAGCAGTAGGTACTGTAAAGAAGACGGTTGCCACCCAGGCCATGTGAAAACACTACACAAGGCAATGACTGCATCTCCAAACTATAATTGCTGGGTTTATAAACAGGGGCATTGTATACTGCAGGTATACGAAGACTCCCTGAAACCAGCATTTAAAAACAAAGCATTACTGTAGTTGTGGGTAAAAATTTTTAATAGTCACCTCAAATATATAAGTACAACCAATGTTGTGCTAAAATTCAATTAATCTTAAATTGTTCTTTTAAGGTCTTGTTTTGCTTTTACTTTCTTTCATATATTAACAAATGAGAACAACATGAAAAGAATTACAATCTGTACTAAAAAATCTGTTTAATTACAATATACAGTAACAGACAATGGATTTGGCAAACTACGGGAGGTAGAGGTGATCCCACACCTTACTCTTAGGCCACAGAGAGGCACACAAAGCCAAGGTTTTCAAGGTAAGCACAGGGAACCCAGATTCACTGTACTCTCCAAGCTTGAAACTGAACAAGTGAGTTTATGCAACAGGATGGCAGACAGAAGTGGACAGCAAAATGCTTGTATGTGACAAACATGACAGGGCTATTACTTGAGTGTTATGTTGTGATCTTCTTTTAACATTAATGTTTCTGGTCTTGCAAAAACATCTGTTTAAAGGAAAGTTGTTTCAAACAAAATTACTGCCATGCTTGTCACACAAGGTCTGCTGTCTTCTTTCCTCTCCTGCCCTGTTGCGTACATTTACTAACATCCCGACCAGAACTTGAGTTGTTGGTGACTTAATTGTTTCTGTCCACTGTCAAGTGAAGGATAAAGAGTCGCACGCTTATTATTTTTTGCTCAGGACTTTTGCAAAAATAAAGCTCGTTCATCGCACTAATTGTTAAGAAACTCTTTCCCGGGACTCTTCCATTTTCCATTGGGGGACAACGTCAAGTATTCAAAGCTTAACTCACCAACGCTCCAATAAAAGAATTGTGACAACAACCAAACGGGAAGTTTCATAAATTTCAGGAGCCCTGTTGTATATTCTTCACGAGGCATCCAAAAGCAATACTTTGATTCATCGATTGGTCCAGCAGTCTTATCCACTGGGTAAAAGAAACGAATGAAGCTGCCGGCATTTTCCCCTCCACCAGATTCGTTTACAGCAGTGCACATGTAATCTGTGCATCCTACTGTGAAAGGGCCTGTTGGATCTGGCAATTTTTTTCGTACTCTCCAATATGAAAACAACGACGACATTTTGCTTCTATGAAGCATGACATTGCAAAATACTAAAAGCTGGAATTTTGTACCCCTTGCTCAAGAGGGCAATTTCTGCCAGGCGCGCGCACACCGCAAGATTTTTATCATGTGACATAGTCACGCAAGAAAAGTGTGCAGCGTGATTTTTATCACATGACATGGTCACGCTAAAAAGGGCACTTGAGAAACTTCCAGACAAAACATAACATGTCCAGCGAAGAACAACGATCGCTGCTCGGAAGTTCTTCAAGCTCGGATCAGCAGAATTCACGGGTAAATAGTGATCACAGTACTGAACACGCATTTAGGGTGTGCTGAGTATAACTGAAATACGTCTTTTCTGTTTATTGCACCTCTCTGCTTCTAATTAGGCGTCGTCCTTTTCAAGCAAATGGGGATTAGTTTTGTCTTGTATCGGATGTGTCGTTGGTACAGGAAACATTTGGAGATTTCCGAGAATAGTGGCAAATAACAGCGGCGAGAAAGGTATCAAAGAAGTGTATATTTGAAAGTATCTCTTTAATGCTTAAATTTCGTTTTATCATTGATACGTGTGGGATCCTGATGTCGACTACCTCTAACATTTTATAAATTTCCACGATCCACGTGATTCCCTTTGACCTGTCACTGTTTGGTGACCTTCACGTAAAGCAAATAGCGTTTCATACATACCGCTTTTTTTATAAAGAAAAATAGGCTATTAAAGAAAAAATAGTAAAAGGAAATCAATGCAGTGCATTCCTTTGTTTGTCCACGGAGTGTGCTCGCAAGCGTAATGAGGTAACTGTCGGGGTTAGGGGGGAGGGGGTATTTCATTTAGCGATGATGGGGAGGGTGAGGGGGTAAATTGCTATGAAGAGAGACATTTAGATGCAATGAAGCAAGAATTTTCCTGGGGGGGTACTACCTTATATAAGCCATATAGGTGTGTGCTGCCCCAGAGGGTATGGTTTTGGCACCTTTTTGTTCTGAAAACCGGTATACGCTTTTTCCATTTTTTATCGTTTCAATTCCAAATAAATACAATGTAAGAACGAAGTAGAAATATGCAAATTTGAAATGCATTTGAAGAATTGTTTTGTTTGCGCTCTAATCTAAGAAATGTCTTGACATAATTTTTAGAGGTCTGGTCTGAAAATGCGTGTGGAAAATGAGATTTTTTGGTCTAAAATAGGATCAGGATTTAGAGAACGAGGTGGTACAACCCCTTCAAGAATTACCAGAGTACCATTCCTGGGGCATTTTCAGTAAAATGGGCTTCAAATAACTGAGTCAGTTTTAAGTGGGCCTTCTAGCTAATCAACATCATCCACTGCAGTTACCACTGAAGAAGGGATCAAAGGGGCTTTTGCATGGTACAGGAGAGTGTTGTTCATTTTTGTAAAAGCTGAAAATATGAAGTTAAAATCTGTGAAATACTGTCGTTTAAGGTTAGAAAAGTGAACAGGGATTTTGAATTACCGTGATGCCTTATTTGTACTTTTCCAACATCTGTGAAAAGTGTGTAGAACCCTCCCCCTTTTAATTTACCACCCCCCCTTGTTAAATGGTGGGTTAGGAGTAGGGAGTTGGCTATGTACTGTAAATTGAGCTCTTGAATTCCAACTTTAAATGTACAGTTTTCTGAAGTGAGTAATACATACATGTAATTTTATTATACAACTGTACATCAAACCCTCCTTCACTTCTGTAGGACCACTCATCTTCTTAAGAACAAGGGTCATTACCAAAAATAAGACCATAACAACAGACTCAGCGGGCATGTTGGTCCCTCACCAAGACAGTGAGACCATTTGGTAAACATCTGGGACTTTGGTGGAATAATTTCAAGACCCAGATAGTTAAAATAAGAGCTTGAAGATCCTCCAATAGGCAACATATATAAATGAATCAAAATCTGGTCCCAATGGTTCAAATTTTGATCAACTGGGGCCTGTTGTTTGACTGTTTCCATAGGTGGACTCCAGTTCCTTTTAGTATGGATATTATTCCTGGCATTCTGGTCTATACCAGTGATTTTGATAGAGTATTCTGTTGGTCGTTACACAAGACATGGTCCTGTGAAGTCCTTCCGTTCATTGGTCGGACCCTGGTCATTGTGGTGTGGGGGATGGATGGTTGCTGTTGTTGTTCTCATTGGGTGAGTATAAGTCTCCCAGATAGTTGGTTACTTCCTTTCTAGAAGCATATGAATCTTGGTAACTGCAGATTAAGGCAAAGTAGCAAGGTTGGTATTCCCGTGTAAGACTCCGGGGCCATTTCTGTTCCAGAAAAACCGTCCAATTTCAAAGTCATAATGAGATCAAGAGTTTCAAATAAAAACTACATGTAACTGGCCAGATCAGTCAAATCCTAAATGACAGTATGCACAAAGGAGATGGTCTTTCAGCAAAAACTCTAGAAGAAAGCCTGTTTTTCAAAATGACTGACCTGGCCATGGTCCAGCCAGCCAGTTCTGACTTTTGGAAGGCTGATCCTGTTTTCTCTAATGGAAATATATGTAGTATTTGACAATCATTGTCATGATCTTTCAAGATTATTTATTCCAGACATTATCAATTGAATTGTTTTAGGTCGTACTACTCTGTTGTGGTTGGGTGGTGTTTTTATTATCTATTCCGCTCCATCTTCTATCATCTGCCAAACTCAATACAAGAGAGTAGGAATATTTGGAAGGACTTACAGGTAACCTCTGAAAATAATTTTGGTTTTGGATATAGCATGTTGGTATTCAAAGCAGGCGCCGATCAGTGAGATGATTATAATGATATTATAGTGTGAAAGGTTTGAACGCAGGAGTCATTTCAAAAGTAGGTTGAGTTTGATAGTCTGGTTGAACGTAGTCCTGAATAGGACTGTTGTTGTTGGCAGTGGCTGACGTTTTGACAACCTGTGCGGTAATCATCTTCAGAGTCAAAGTGAGTTGTGTCACGTCAGTTGATGGTATTATACTCTGGTTATTGTTCTGATTGGTCAATTACGTCGCGTTTTGGGTACTTTTAGAAGCTACTCACTTAATGATGGGAAGTCACATGTATTCATTGCGTACCTAATTTTTTCTTTAAAGGAACATCATCAATACATTCCAGTCCTTCTCCACCTGTTGACTCTGTTCATCACCAGTATTTCATTAACAAGATCAGTGTCATCAATTGAACGTGTGAACAGCATCATTGTCCCTCTTCTGTTACTTGTATTGGTAGTGTCTTTCTATTGGTCCTTGACTTTGGAATATGCATCTCAAGGAATCTCTTTTCTCTTTTCACCTGACTGGGGTAAGTACAGTTGTAATGCAGTAGCTTGATGCCAACACTGGTTTCCCTAAGAAAAGAAGTCCCAGGAACAAGCGCAGAAATTCCATACTGATGACGTGTCACTACCCAGATCAGTCTGGGTTGTGCTTCTGGTTGGTGGTGCGGTGGAAGAAATTTGTTTCAACCAATCAGATGCACTTCCCATATCTGGGCAGTGATACTTCATCAGTGTAGAATTTCTGCGCTATTTCCTCAGAATTCCGCTTTGATGACGGCTAAATTTTCGAAACCACGATGAAAATCTATGGAACCAAAAAACTTGATCAAAAAGAGCAAATGCACAAGTGTCTTTCTGTTTTTCAAAATAACTTGTCTAAGTTCTTGGTGACTTGTTTAGAACTTGGTACAAACTATAAAATAGCTTTACACGAACAGGTCAGAGTGTATACGTACGACCAGGCGCGGTAACGACGTCACTAAAAGTGTAATCTCTGAAACTTTTACAGGGTAATAACTCCAGCATCAAGACGTGTCTATTTGTAAGTAACACTGTTGTTATGATTCTTCAGGTGAACTAAAAAACCTAAGATTGTGGGTCGAAGCAGCTTCTCAAAATGCTTGGGATACAGGTATGAAAGAATACGAGCGTATTTCGAGGACCGCACTCAATAAAACCTTTTATTTTTGAATTTCTTTCTTTGATGTTTTTCTAATCCTGCTAGGCGCTGGAGCGGGGTTATTCTTGACCTATGCAACATTTATGACGAGAAGAAATAGCGTGGTCAAAATAGGAACCATTCTCCCAACATGTAATAACTTAATAAGGTAAAGAGAACATTTTTTCTCGTCTTAACATCGTGAGGAGCGATTGACCACAGGGACGGAACCAAGAATGTTTCGTGGATTTTGAGGCACAAGCTGTTTAACTGCTGGTATTACGCTTCCACCCTCCCCTCGGGGTACTCAAAAATGATTTATGCGGGGAGGCATAAACACCATTTTTGACGCAAAAGGTATCCCTTTCCTGTACCTTATATTGACAGTTGGTACCCCTTTCACATACCTAGTGTAGAACATTGCATCCCTTTTAACTCCTGTAAACGCAATGTTTTTAAAATATGGATAACCAACTAAACCAGAACGTTTTCTCCACTTTTTTCACAGCCATAAAATACATCTTTTTATAGCCTTTTTGGGCCATTTTACAGACCGAAACGATAGATTTCCCTATCCTTTCATATACTTCAACTAATGAAACCCCTAAACTTCCTTAAACCTGAAGCCTAAAGAAAGTACCCCTTTCGGGCGGAGCCGCCCCGTATAGGCCATCGTAGAGAGTACCCCCACCCCCTCGGGATCCTTCCTTACCGTTGCACATTAGTTCCCCTGGGCATTTCACGTTATGATACTTGTTTCCGGTAGAAAAAAAAAAATTTCAAACGGAACCCCACTTTTTGCGTTGATATTGTAATGTTTTGGTATGGGAAAAGGAACTGTTTATACGGGCCAGAAGTTGCGGCGGCCCTGCCAAAATTGGATCTGAATTGAACCTGAAATTGAACCCGTTAATCAGTGTCAAAGGTTACTGCAAATATTTCAATTTAGTTGAGTTGTTAAGTTGAGCAGTAAAGGGGAAATTAACCGTCGAAAAGGTTAATAGAAGTTGGAGACATTCGTCTCTCGTTTTTAAGCAACATTGTTCACTGCCTTTCAACGGTCACTCTTTCCGCTTCAATGAAAATAATAGTTAAAAGGTCTTAGGATCGGCTGAGAGCTCCGCATATATACGCCTCATGGTAAAGCTGTTGTTATCATTCGAAGCCGTAGAATTAAAGTTATGACTAAACATTGATTTGTCTTTTTCATGTTGTTGTTTTCTAGCTTAATTTGCGCTATAACATTATATTGCACCGTCTTCTCCACGGAAATACGAGAACGGCAAAGTCAAAGCAAAATAGCAGCTTTACTCAGAGAGGATGGGTACGCCAATACTGGGCTGACTTTTCTTTGGTAAGCTGTAAGAGCCGAACAGACAGAGAAAACCAGGGGGGCACTCCAGGGAAGTCTGGGAAGAGGTGTGCCTCTAAGGCCTTCAAAACCTGACCCTGTTTAAGACAAAAACCGTTCATTTTGCTGCCCTGTTTAATACAAGAGACCTTATTTTAGGACTGTAATTCGTTTCGTTTGGCATACAGAAATAAGAAGTTTTTTTAACAAAAATAATATAATAAAAACTTAGATGACAAATGCAGACCTCTCCGCGCTATCCTTTTAAGCTTTTGAAAGGCTTTCGGTCCAAAAAGGCAACCTGTTCAAGACACTAAAACGTACACCCTGTTTAAGACTCAAGTGACCTGTTCCAGGGATCGAGAAACGTTGCGCGAAAACCACGTGGGCGCTTGGGAAGGACGGAGTATTGAGCCTGTAAGCATTGTTCTCCATACCCCATTCCAGCATACCAGCTCCTAGTATACCCTTAAGGTTGGTAAATTGTGACAGTTTACTTCAACAGTTATGTCAATCATCTGGCATCACGCGCGGAGTCTAAAAACATGTCGATCATGTAAAACCCTCCTACACCGCCCCTTTTTGATGTTTTGACATTTGACATTTTGACACGAGAAACAGTTTCTCGTTGGCGGAGTAGTGGGCAGATTGAGGTACATGTATTTGAGAAAATGCTTACAGACTCTCCTCTTCTCTCTTCCCGCAATTTTTCGCCCGTTCGCTTTTTCACTGCTCGCTCGCTTTTTTGCTCGTCCACACTGACCGAGAGCCTGGCAAAGGCACTCAACACCTGGGTACAGGCGCTCAAGACCCTGAAAACGGTAACCACACCCTATTCAGCCGCACGTACCCGTTTAAATAAAGGAGCGTCACCCACGGTTAGCAAACGTATTGTTTTGTTGGCAGTTTCCGTATTGGCTCTGTAATGGTTTCATGCATTCTTTCCACTAGGATGCCGGTTCTGTACAAAGAGCTGGGAGTTCCAGGTCGTGTCTTGTCATGTCTATTCTTCCTTTGTTTGGCCTTGGCTGGTGTTAGCTCACTCATAGCTGTGCTAGAGTTACCAGTGCTCACTCTTGAAGAAATGCGAAGTAGGTATTAGCGACTTTTTGGCGACTGCTCGTGTAGCCTGTTCCAGGCTTCGAGATAGTTATGTACAGAGATCGAGTAAACTGTTGAGAAAACGTGCTTCATTTCCCGTCGCCGCATAGATCACGCGCGTCCTATTTTCCCCTGGCATTGTTTCCGTGACGTCCCCTCTATCCAAGAGCCTGGCACAAGCTACTGCTCGCGAGGAGTAAATCTTAGATCCCCATAAGAAACGTCTTGTTTAAGGTGGAAGTACAATTTTAGCTAGTATAACCAGTTTACAAGGACCCTACTACAAACGTTTTTAAACAGGTAATTTAACCCCAACTGGCAGGATACAACAAGGTTGTCATTTACTAACGTGACCAAGGATTTGAACTCGGTGCGACCGAGAAACAAATCCAGGTGGTGGTCGGAGCGAAACTCGAACCTAGGACCGCCGTATTCCGAGCCTGACGCGCTGACCATTCGGCTTCGTTGCCTCCTAATGTAACAAGATCAAGGGAGTATAATCTTCTTTTGAATAGACACAAGAAATTTACAAGGGACTGACATGCATTAAGATCGCAATAACATGAACCGAAAGTAGAATCAGCTGAAAATTCATCTTGAAGCTAAATGTTTGTCAAATTTCTTTAGAAACTTTTAGGCCCTAAATGAACCCATTATGTGACTGAGCCGGCCCAAGGCCCGGCTGCATAAAAGTCATACGTAACAGCTACTGTCTGGCGTTACAAAAAAGACATTAACCAGCGAGCAGGCTCATTCGTGCGAGTTCGGGAAAATTTTTGCGGCGGAGCCTCCAGCATGACCTGGCAAAGCTAATGGCACCTCAATCGTCTCTCCGTTTTCGCCGGCTTTTTCTGGTGGCCCCGCAGCCTCATACCCAGGCCAGTTCGCGCTATCCGAGTTACCAGAGGAGGCTTGGAACCGAGTGCGATAGTCCTCGGCGAACTTTCCCGACAAGCTTGACAGGTGACGTCACATCCGAAGTCGCTGAGGACGACTGGGAACGAGGCTGGTGGCCCCGGAGCCTAACCTCCATTGCAGCCGGCCTAAACATCGTCTAGGCCATTAGTATAGTATATACAGGCGGTTTAGAGTGTCTGCGCCGTAGACTAACACCGCCAAATCCCGTGGATGTAAGCCTGCTGGCAGGCTGTAAAGATTTTTACCGGGCTTTATGTCAGACAGTAGCGTCTATGGCGTTTGTACGGCTGCCCCCTGCCCTCAAGCAAGAGAAGGCTGCTGTACCAAGTTACGTTTAGGTGTGACGTTACTGTTTATGCAAACGGTCCCTGGGGCCAGTCACAGAACACAGTCACAGAACACAGTCACAGGCCTGGAATTTTTTGTTTTGTTTTGTTTTTTGTTTTTTTTGAGGTTTCGATAAACGCTAACTGTTTCTTTTATTATTCTACGTGCTTCAACAGTTCCTAGGAAGTTTGCTCTACCTCTGGTGTCTGTAGGAATGTTCTGTCTCGGCATACCCTCAGCGCTGAATTTGGATTTCTTAGTTAATCAGGTCTGTAGCAACGACGTGTTTTAAGGTAATGTTCACACCATATCGGATAGCTTTTGCACCGGCAAGAAAACCATAACGGATAGAACTTCTGTTCACACATAAGAACGGTGATTTCAGCGCGATTTGTCTAACAGAGCGCAGCTGTGCCGCGCAGATCTCCAAAGCTGAGCGTAACATGTCGGATTAGGTTCTGTGCCACACTTTGGTGTAGGGCGAACCGGTATTTGGACCATAGCGGAAGTGAATAAGCAGGAAAATAGGACTGAAATCCACTGAGACGGAAGTTAATGTTCAGGAGTGTGGACTGGGACTGGGAGGACCCAAACCCTCTCGATCAACTGCTCCGGTACAATGTTCGATGTGTGTGAACTTGTTCCAGTTCGGTGCCGTTGCTGTTCACACTTTGTCGACACGACAAAGTGTGAACGCGACCTTATACCTCATTCCTGGTATAGTGTCAACATGAACTTATGCACGTAACATCTTAGTAACAGTCGGACCAAAATACGTCGTCATCTTGGTGTGAGTGTAAAGGTGACTCACCCCAATCTGTATTCGCTGTGTTATATTATTTTGAACAGATTTCACCTTCAGTAGAGAAGCTTTAATGCGGTGTAAACAAATAGTGCGAAAAAAATGATCCTGGAACCTTTTGTGCAAGACGAGCGAAGCCTTTTATTGACCATGCAGTGACGTCATCCGAAATTGTTTTTTATCAAGAAAGGATCGGAATTAAAAATATTTGTGCTAGACAAACGTGATGTCATAAAACATTTTCATTTTGCTTTGAGCACGTGTTATCATTTTACACTTACGACTAACTATCTCGCAACCATAACAACTTGAACACAGGAAAAAACGTTGGAGTTGTAGGCAAAAGTAGTTTTGATATTAAAATGGAGGATACAAAACATTGTAATTACAGTTTAGAAAGGGGCTTTTGCCGTATTTGTTTCTTCCAGGACTTTGTCTGGGCGTTCGGCCAGGTATTGGCTGGAGTAGTCACCATATCTTTACCGATCCGTTATGGTGCGTCAAAGTTTCGTAATGAAATAGTAAACCAGGTATGGATGTTTGGTAGCAATGCCAGGATTTGAGAATAATCAATTTTTTTTATTGCCACGCCGATCACTAGAGGCGTCCTCTGCAGATAAACTAGAAAGCGCGGGGTGGGCGGGGTGGGGGAGGGGACGATGGAGAAAGAGAAAAGGAGAAAGGTTCTCTCTTTTTTCTCTTTCCCATCATCCGGCCTACACGCATTCTTTATCTTCATGAAGATCGCGTGTTTTACACTATTTGCACACTCTAAGTAGCTAATCAGCTTCCAGAATTTGAAGTTTGAATATTAATTCAGGATAACTTTTTCAATTATGTTAATGTATTCCCAACTTAATGTACTGCTTTTTTTAAATTCAGTTTGGATTAGAGGACTGGAAACTGCCAAAGATCTGGGTGTACGTTATAAAGTACGTGAGATCATTTAACCAACTTTGCTCTTTGCTAAATAAGGTTCATGCTACTTAAATTTTTCCAATCATTGCTATAATAGACCCTACAGTCAAACCTCCACAAATAGACTCATCCTCCAAGTTCACTTCAGAGGCTATGGTCTCAACGACATACAGCTATTTCGAGAAAGGTTGTCGGAAAAAATGTGCACGCGACAATCCCGAAAGGTAATATGGGATATGATCAATACACTGTTCCTGACGACTGTAGCTGTCGAACCTACTTTTGTTGCTTTCCTCTAACCGTCGAAAACACATTTCCGTGGCCTTTCGTGCCAATTCTTTCAAATTTCTTTGAAGAACAGAGAACTCAAAACCACCCACAATGCCTTTCAGGATTGTCGCATGCACTTTTTCCGACAACTTTTCTCGAAGTAGCTGTAAAAACATGACACTTGTTACAACAACTGAGCGAGATCTTGCGCGCTGATTGGTCGGTAGCTGTGATCTGTGAGGGTGTAGACCAACTTCGTTCCCAGGTCCTTTCTCTTCCTCCCGAAGAAAGAAGACTGTATAATGACATAAATGAAGGCAAATTCTTCTTTTTTTATCTTTTTCTTTTTTCGGTCTCTCGCGCGAGATTTCTCGAGAAACGTCGCCCGGAAATGGACGTTGGAAACTGTCAAGGTTGAAATGGGAAGTAAGCAAGTAGGAAAGAGAAGGCAAAACGTTTACAAAGGTCTGAAAAACCGGTTGCTTCTTTGAAGGGAACTGCTAATGAACCGCTAATAAAATACGAGGGGCCATGTGTCAATATCCCAGAGGAATTAGTCATATCCTTGCATATATTATCCTGACACACAATTTATTGTTTACGAATAATTTTTCGTTCAAGTGTTGTTAAACACAACGTTATAACTCAATATGAAACAGGATTTTCTTAGTCCTGACTTCGTATAGACAAACTTCATTATTTAGAGGGAAGTATTCAAGATTGCCGAAAGCATTTTTAAAGATTCCAAACCTGAGCTTTGCTTTAATTCCAAGTTGCGCTCTTTTATCCATGCAATCACCATCAACTCACAGCCTCAAGGACCAGTTGACTTCTTGTCGTATTTTGCAGTGTTTGTGTCTCATAGTAGCAAATACCTCGTCCACAGCTTTCATCTCTAATTGTATAGGTGAAACGATCCTCTGTATGGAAATTGAAATTGCCGTTCCTGGCTCGTTTTCTTCAAACATAACAACCTTTTCCGAATAGTTTTCTGACGTTTCAGTTTAAAAACTGCCGTATGAACTGCCTGATGTAAAAAATCGTGTTCAATGGTAATCAGTCGACGTTGCTTTTCTTAGCGCGTATACAGACAACTAATTCTAAATACTGCGACTTCGAAAAACAAAGGCTCATTTCAAACGTCACATTCCACGCGTGCCGAATTTAATGGTAATAAGGAAAATATAGCGTTTAGTCTCGCTCATTTACATTAGATTTGGCATAAGGGAAACGCGACGTTTAAAACGGGTCTAACGTTAATGATTCTGCCCCCGTGGCACCATGGAATGCTCGCTGAAGGTGAACTGTAGACGCCATATTTTGGGATCTCTTGTGGGATCCTTGGCAATGTAAAGACGAGCCCTTCAACGCTTCCACATCGTCTAAAATACACTTCTTTTACCCCCTTGCCCCTCCCCCCAACTTGCATAAAAACTAACAATTAAATACATAGTACCATTTAAAGGCACTGCTGAAGATGTTTCATTTGCATGGTAACACCATGCAAAAAAATGAACCACGTACAAATGTATGAACACAGTGAAAGCACCTTCGTTTTTGCTGTTGTTGTTGTTGTTGTCATTTTAGAATCCTATATTGATTACTTGCAATCGTCCCAAAATGTTTAAAAATCAGTGTTTACGCAATGTTTGGGGGGACGAAGTGTATTGTGGGATGATGTGGAAGCAGTGAATACCCGCTAAACAGTACCAAAGAGTCAGAGAACTTAGATTTTTGTACAAACAAATTCTAAATAGGATTGCCCCGAGGCTTTCTTACAAATAATGACCCAGCGCGTAGCGTGAGGTCAATATTTCAAGAGTAAGATATATTGCACCTTTTCATCGTTTTAGAAACAGCAACTCATTATTGAATTCAATAAAGTGAAACAGTAGGTCATTATTTTTAATTGTGACCTCCTATTCTTCCCCAGAGACCCTCTCTAGGTTTCTTGAAAATGATAACCTGTTTGAAACAATTCAAAGGTGCTTTAAAAACTGAGAAACGAAATTGTGACGCCAATATCGTGAACAATCCAAAAATCAGGTCATTCAAGTCATTTTAGTGATTTTCCTATAACCACTGTTTTCAGTTTTGTCGATCCTACAGTTGCAATAGCACTGTTGGTGTCATTTGTCATTGACACTGTAAAGGATGAGAAAACCAAGTGGTACGAGTTTGGAAGAGAATCTCTCATGTCATGTCTTGTCGAGGTAAGTCGATAAGTGGTGTTACTGTTGGGTTTGCTGTGTCTATACTTTAGTGCTCAGTTGGACCTTTCACTGTAAATTGTCTGAGACGTGTTTAAGATATAACTTGATACCACAACACATTGAGTTTTATCGTTATGGAATTGAAATTATAACAAATTTTGAATCTGATTGGCTGGCAAAAATCCTTATATTTTTTACTTCACCCAGTGTGACAGCGAGGTGAGACTACACATGTGGTGAGCACACGGTTTTCAAACCAAAAAATTCGGTCATTCCAAAGTTAGTGTCTTGACAAGTACTGCGCATTTTGTGATGTCTGGAAAAGAGAGCAATGACCGGCCATTCCTGGGGTTATGGGGTTTTGTCCATTTTGAGGTTGCACGCCCAACCGGATCGGTTTTGTGTCCTAATGAACAATGTGACTGTTTTGAAAGCAAGGTTGCGCGAGACACTGGGTCAAAAGTTTTCCCCAAAACAGTCCCACAGTGTAATTCCATGAATGGGCCTCATAATGATGTCAATTGTCCAGCTTGAGGATGGGCGCGCCTCTTGATCGCTGTCGGTGGGATTCTTCTAGGGGCATTGTCGCTGTTACGAGGTTGCGAAAGCTAAGAAACTGGGAAAAATTTTTTCCAAAATAGCCCCACAGTGCTATTCCATGAATGAGACTCGTAGTGATGTCTATTGTGGAGCTTGAGGATGCGCGCGCCACTTGATCGGTGTCCTGTCCAATTGCATTGTGGGACTATTCTAGAGGCATTGTCGCTATTACGAGGCTGCGCAAGCTAAGAAACTGGGAAAATTTTCCCCAAAATAGTTCCACAGTGCAATTCCATGAATGAGACTCATAGTGATGCCTATTGTCCAGCTTGAGGATGCGCGCGCCTCTGGATCGGTGTCGTGTCCTATTGCATTGTGGGAGTATTCTAGGGGAATTGTCGCTATTACAAGGTTGCGCAAGAAACTGGGAACCCACAGTGCAATTCGACGAAACACCGACCAAAATCACACGCAACCTCAAAACAGCATTCCTTTCTTTTCTCTTGTTTTATAGTGGTTTGTGGTTCTAATACTGTTAGTATTAGCAAATGCGTTGTGGATGCGTTACCGTAGAACTCGAAGAAGAATTCACAGAATCTCCAGCATTCGTGACACACAGCGTACGCCAACGACTAACGTCGACGACGCGAATTGATAAATATTTAGTGGATGGATTTATCCATCATACTTAGATATTCAATGAACAATTCTTCAATTAGTGCTTAACATGTTCTTCCCAAAAAGTAGGTAGAAAGTGGATTTTCTTAATTATTAGGTACCACGAATTTCCCTACAGCCGTCTTGGAGAATTTCTTGCTGGATCGACAACCCAGTGTTTCTTAACTCTTTCTAAAAGTGATTCACTCTAGCTTCGAAAGCTTTACGTCACATACTCAACTTAATTTAATATCGTCATATATTAAGCTTGTAGCCAACTGTAATTTTTTTGTAGATTAGATTAGATATTTGTATTTAGATTACGATTCGCGAATCGTAGGACGACTCGCCCTAATTTACTCTAGAGGCGCCGCTGTGAAGATGCTCTTGGAAACCTCTAATTTCATTTGCTCTTCCGGGCGCGAAACTCCTCAGGCTTGGCCTTAGTATTAGTTCTGTATTGTTACAATGTAAAATAGTATGTACTCCCTTGAAAACGTAATATATACCGGTATTAGCAAATTTGCTTTTGTGTTATTATTACCAGGAATATGAATTAAATATGAATATAAATACGAAACTGAGGTTTTTATTATACTGTAATGTTAAATTTGATATTGTTCGAGATAACAGAGATAACAGTTGAAGGTTAGATCGTCGTGTCATTGTATTCATCGTCAGCCCAAGTGTAAAATTCTTGAGGCAGTTAAGAAATTGTAGCAGAATAACTTCATTACATAGTCCAAATGGCCTGCACCCTCAGTCCACGATTCTTGTAAGGACCACTTGAACAAACAGCGGCGAGAGAAAGCCGGGTCTTGTCGTAGATCAGGATCAGCAATATAAATTTTAAATTGAATGCAAGGCCGATCGAACAGCTAAGGTTTACAAATTTATTTGCCCAATATTTCGACTAGACAAAACTACTTATCATCAGAGGCTAGAAAAGCTAAATGAGAATAGAATAAACGGTTGCAGTATATAAAATAATAGAAAAATAAAATGTGATTGGTGGAGCAATACAATACACAAAAACTTGTATAAAGAGGTTACATAAAAACATGTGCCAATAAAACGAGATGAAATTTAATCTATTGACATATATTTTTATGTAACCTCTTCATACAAGTTTTTGTCTATTGTATTGCTCCACCAATCACATTTTATTTTTGTATTATTTTATTTACTGTAACCGTTTATTCTATTCTCACTTAGCTTTTCTAACCCCTAATGAAGTCTAGTTTGTCTAGCCGAAATATTGGGCAAATAAAGTTGTAAACCTTAGCTGTCCGATCAGCCTTGCCTTCAATTTTAAACCCTCAGTCCAGCCGGTCCAGGCCCTCGCTGCCCGGGCGAAGGAGCGGTTTCGATGACGTCACGACCCATGCTACGGAGCAGGTTTAGCCCACTTTCGATTCAGAATGATACCGAGTCCTAGCGTGCAGGCCGCGCGAGAGGAACACGCGAAGGGTGGAGGGGGTCTCCTCTCCTTTTCTCCCCTCGCGTGTCCTCGAGATTCCTTCTTTCGCCCTAAAAAACCGCCGCCTGCCACGCAGGATAAGCAAGTCCTGGAGGACAAGCGAAAATAACTTATTACACATATGCAATCATTTTCTTTACAAGTGTCCTCGAGGACTCGCTTTCATGCTGAAAAGTGGTAGATTATCTTAACTTTGGCCATAAAAATAGAAAATAGAGTCGCGTGTCTTGTTAATATATATTTTTTTAATTTATAAAAATACATCTTTTTGCAAATATTGTAACTTTCTAAGATTCAAACTCATTTTTTGAGCAAATTATGTTACAGAAATAGCAGTTTTACTTTTATGAAACATCTATTTCCTGTAAAGGAATTTAAAATTATCACAATTTTACAAGATGTCTTTCATTTGGATCAACCACTGGAAGACTCTAACTAACGTTGATTTGAAAAACAAACCATAACCATAATGAACTGTTAAGTGGGCGTAGAAATTTGGACACGCTGGCGACAAAAGACGTAGCCGTCTACGAAAACGCCTACTACGCGCATTTCTTAACGAAAATTTATCATCTACAAATTGAGCTTAAAATTGCACTGTCGACGAACAACCCGACTTCATTTTCTTTGTTCAAATCCCTCGTTCTCGCTTCGATGGTCCTCTGTTAGCAAAATCACAATATCTATGACGTGATTTGTCTAATGTACGTCTTTAGAGTTAGAGTTTGTATTTTTTTTTTTTTCGAGTTCTTTCCTAATGTACATTTATTCCAATATTTCTGGAAAACTAAACAAATTTTTTAACAAAATTCCTCTGATCGCGTTGCAACGCTCCGTAATTCGACGACAGTGAATTGTCAGTACTTTTAAAAATAGGCCTATCCTATACTTTTCACTGCAACATACAGCAGAGGTCTTTTAACAGTAACAAAGTTTAAAAATATTCAGACTAAAAAACATTGAATATTGGAAGAATCACGGCTTTATGGAAAAATAATGCTTGGTAACATTTAATTCTTGTGTGGTCAGCTTATGAGAAAGCCGTGGCCCTGTCTGTTTGGAATCAACTGAGATGATGAAGTAGATTGGCCCTATTCGACCATCAAATTAAAGCTTTCAATCAGCGTTGTGAGAATTTTCACGAATGGGTGTTTCGAGCGGTATTTCTTCGCTGGGGCAAAGCCTAAAGATTTGGCACAAGACTGGTCATGCTCGTGACGTAAGCTTTCGATGACATAACGACTACGAGGGAGAGTGTTTCATTTGATATCCTAACACTGAAAAACGAGGTCCTGCCGAGTATTTTTCGACCTTTTTTAATTAATTACAGCAAAACCTTCAGAACGCGAACACCCCAGCTCAAGAGGTTGGCTTACAGGAGGTGAAGATTGCAGTGTTTGTTAAGTCGCTAGGCCATGACTCGAAGTATCTCGATTATGGGATGGGACCGTTTGCGAAGGTTCAGCTTTTCAGAGCTTGGAATAGACTCTTGATGAAACTCTCTAGCTCGTATCTCAGGGAAATAGATTTTCAAGCCATTCAAAGGAAAAAAGAATCTCCAAATTCATCACTTTGAGTTAATAAAGGAGAAATCTACTTAGTGCTAGATTGTGTAGTTCACAATGTCAGTTCTTTTTGGTTTGTTCGTTGTGCTTGTTGTACTTAATCGTCTCAGTCAATTCCAAGCTACAGTCTATTTGTTAAATGGCTTCACTTAAGATTTCCTCCTCGAAATTAATCTTCCCCAAATAATTTACCCCACTTAACAATTTTGGGCTGGAACATTCAAAATCTTTCTTCTACAACTTTCACTCTTTTTGCTAAAACTTTCACTCTTTACTTTTGTACAAATAAAACCTAACTGAAACTAAAATATGCCCAAACATATCCCAAGCGAAAGGTAACTTATTTTCCACAGAAATAATGGCATAGATTCCCTTTAAAACCTACCAATTTCTTAAACTCTTCAATTTACAAATAAATTAAAGTTCTAAATGTTTTCGACAAAATCAAGAAAACGGATTTAACGATGCAATTGTAATTTTGTTTGATTAGGGACAGAAGCACCAAAATTATTTGATAAAAAGGCGTTCTTGAGATAAATATGATTTTAAAATGTAAAAATACCACCAGGTCAAATTTCATCTCTGTTAAGTAGAGAAAAGTTGCGGATATAATAAGCTTATTATTAAAAAAAAGTATGTCGAAATAAAAAAAATAAGAATTTTCTTTTTTGCAGCTTTAAACAATCTGGTGAAAGTATGAAGTTTAGAAAAATAGCTCACAACTGCAAGAAATGCAGGTTTTTTCTGTTGCCTTTGAAAATTGCGAAGAAGACGTCACGAGTTTGCGTGATAATGCTTGCGTGACTATTGATGCCTGACCACATGAGAAGACAAAGGATTTATGTGGACGATTTGTGACTCTCTTCTATGTTTTATAGACATCAATGGGAGAGAACCCTGACAAAGCTTGCTGGAAAAACTCCTGTTTTTCCTGGATGCCCTTCAATCTCCCCCAGCTACGAAGAAAACAAAGAATAATCTTCGATCACAATGGGCACTTGACAGCTTAACAGTCACGTGGGATAACGCATTGGGTCCTCTATTGTGCCCCTCTCACAAATAAGCCCTCTCAATCTCTAAAAAGCTCTTCTCCTCTTTCCAGGGAAAGAAAGCTATCAAGCCTTTCCTACCTCCTCTCTTTTAACCCCCACTTCCTCCTTATTCTTCACAAACCTCGTTCCCAGCTTCTCTCTCCTATCCATGGGAACAAGTAGGAGAGCACCCGGGGAACGAGGTTGATTCTTCACTACCAAATTGACAAAAGATAGACTGATCCGGTATAGTTTATTCATATGCTGGAAGTTCGGATCATTGGCTGCAAGACCTCTAACGTTACGTGCTTGAGCATTTCCACTTTGCGTCCTATTGTAGTTCTTTTAGGAGAACTGACACCATCTTCTGGTTGTTTGAAAAACAGTATGGTGCCCCATTTCATTAAATCAAGCCCCCTTCCTCTCTATAAAGCCTCCTCCCCTCAAACGAGCTTGAAAGAAACAAGCCCACGGGGGGGTTTAAACGAGGATTTACGGTACATCATTTGAAAAGTTCATTTCCTTTCCTTCCAGATTTCACCGAGTCGTTAGCTCTATAGCGAGGTGTTTTTATACCATGTGACTTCAAATGGCTCATTGTGTATAAAGCAACTGTATCACCAACGCCTTTCGTAGCCTTGGACCAGGCTCCGCAGGGGAGGAAAAAGGTAAGAAACGGGGTCTCAGCGGTGGCCTGGGAAGAGGGAAAGTGCAGCAGAGACCCCGCCACCCTTTTCCCTCCCCAGACTGCCCCCTGGCTCGTTTCGCTCACCGCATTTTTTTTTTTTGGCCACGCAAATTTTTTTCTTCTTTTTCCCCCAATGCGGAGCCGGGTCCCAGGCTACGTAATTAAATACCACGAGGACGCGTAACATGCATGAGCTATTTGACAATTATGTTATCCCTGAGGATCGAAACGCTTACTGAAACGGCAGTCTTTCGATCTTTAATATCCTCTGGTGTTACTGTAAAGGAAACATGGCGGAAGAAAACGCCTGCAATGCAGGATATCTGAAGAACTGATACTTACCCACCACTCGGCATCCTCCCCCTCCCCCTTGACCAATATTATGTCTCCTTCCATGAAGGTGAGTTCGTCGTCATTGTCGGCTTCACAGTCATATAGTGCTTGCACTCGTTGCGGAAGGCCCGAAGGAGTCTAAGTAGACAACAGGAAAGGATAGTGTGATCCTTGAAGTTTACATACGACAGCCGGCAGTTTGTGTCGCAATAATACATATTCCCTCACACGCTCGACGCCCTGTGCCTAGAGAAGCTTACGCATTTAAGCGGAGCCACGATCATTGACTCTTTTTCCCCATAAATCCACTTTTGGACATTTTTAGGGTAGAATTTATTTAAATTTCCCCTTTAAGCTTCCATACCTGGATAAAGATTTTGCGCTTATCCCAGCTTAGAACAACCCGGCCCAGGGTCAGGGTCCAGAGGAGTTCAGTTGGAGCATATAGACTACGAGTAGTCCCCCATTTGTCCTCAGGGATAGTAGAGCGAAACGCGAGCGCGCGTGAAAATCACCCCACGCGAGAAAAGGCGACAGGCGACGAGGAGAGCCACCGCGTCTCGCCTTTCTCGCGTGGGGTGATTTTCACGCACGCTCGCGTTTCGCTCGCCCTACTATCCCTGAGGAAAAATGGGGGACTTCTCGTAGTCTATTGGAACATACGAATAAATTATTAACGTCTCACCGGGTAAAATATAAATCCTCGTTGATAAACCCAAATAATAAGCCCGATAGGATCTTAATCGATGCATTTCAAACAAATCTCCTTACAAAACAAACTGCCATTTTGAATACAAATTTAACCAAAAGCCATTTCCTTGCGGGAGCCAAAACCGTTACCCGAAGCCAATCTTGCAGGTATACACCAATTTAAATAGCCCACGTTCGATATAATAAAATTCTAATACGACTCCGAGGCTTTAGGGACAAAATTGCAATGTTTTCATGACTCCATTGTCTCGCAATTCGCAGAGGAGACTTGAGCACAAAGAAGGCCAAACCAAATTTAGAAAAATGACCAGAGAGGCATAAAGTCATATTAGAACTTAAAAATATATCGAACGTGGGCTATCAAGGTTGTTTCGGCGTGGAATGATGCATGATAGATGATGCATAATCCATGTTTCATGGCCCGCGGTGCATTGTAGGAGCACGTTTAGTAAATCATGTGCCCATCCACGACGAGCCTAGAAACCCAGTATGCAGCAAACGTTACAGACGCTACTATGCTATGTGAGTAGAATGTTAACACAAAGTATTTCAAAACACTGAATCCTAGGCTTCTTCGTCTGATTTGAGTTTAGGTTTTGCTCTGTGGCAATATGCAAAAATCGAAAATTTTTAACGAGTTTGCATTATTCACTGTGTTTCACGGGAGCAACCTTACTTGAAGTAGGTGTATATGTTGTGTAACGGAAATGTCGAAATAGCTATTGTGTATGGTTTTTAACACAGTTTTGGATGTTCCCATGACAAACTGAGCTCCTCTGGATTCTGCGGTTCAGGTTCGACTGCCAAGAAACCTTGTAAGGACCGGACAACCTGAAAGAGTATTGTAAAAAAACTACACCACGATACTCACCGACAGGGTTCTGTGTGATCTTGGCGGAAGATCTGGAATGGGATTGTCTGGAACGGTGACACTTTCTTTTTCTTCAGCGGGTATTTGACCTTGATTACTATTTTCGCTTTCTGTGTTTACTACAATACAAATAAAAAACATCACGTGAATGTGATATTTCCATAAGAATCCAATAAATATGGATTAAGCAATTTCGGTTTTGTGTTTGTTGAGCTCCAAAATTAGAGGTCTTAGAGTCATACCAGCCAAATTCAAGATATCACAGAGTATAGAACGTTTTGACATGACGTCAAGGCTACCATATTGGTGTTCAAAACAATGAAACAGCGGCCTTGTTGATCTACCAAAATAATCGTTTGGGATTGAACAATTTTCTTTTACTCAAGGAAAACTTTCTTTTGTTCCAAGCAATACGACAGCTGCTGACCAAGTGAATGAATACGATCCAATAGAGGCAAAATGCTTAAAAAGCTTGATAAAAGATTCACACCCACCACCACAATAAGCACGTGTACTAGCGCTTAACGCACTACTCTATCCCACTTATTTCAAGTTTCGCGGCAAAAAGCACCGGTTGCCAGTCTATTTTCCCGCGCTTGGCAGAAATTTCACGATTTTCCCGCGCTTATTTCCTCCCTAGCACGCTCTACCAAGCTTCACATAAATTACTATCTTCAACGCGTGACGACAGCAAAGGTCTGTCTGCGCTTGGCCCTATTGAGCATGCTTTCCACCGCTAGTTATGATTTATTCCATATGGATTCGATTTTGTGTCTAGTGGCCGTTAGAGGTCACTTTTTGTCTGTCAAAATAATCCGGTTAAAGAACTTAATTTCCTGCATTTCATAACCGCGTGGCTAATGCAGCGAGTGCACTACAGCACATATGCTTAAGGGGGAATTTAAACTCATTTGTCTACCTACCTAAGAACGACGTTTTGCTGGATAATTCTGATCCCGATCGTCGAGGTGGAGGAGGGCGAGGTAGAGTGGCGAACCTGCCGGCAAAACAACACACAATTCAGTAACAGAAGACAATTCAATGAATAAACATGAAGTACAATATCACTTAATAATTCACTGCTGACCTTGGTGTTAAATCTTCTTTGGCTACAAGTGAAGGAGATGACGTCACTCGGACTGACCCGTGTTTAATGGGCCTCGGAGGAGGTAGGGGACGATTATCTGTTACGTCTCTGCCTACAGCGTCTGCAGGATCCGAAAGCTTTTTCTCCACAGGAAGCTTCAGAACTGATCCCGGACCAGACGGGATTTCCTCACCAAAGGGGGATCTTCCTTCGGATTTTGACCTCCGGTGCATGGGAAGCGGGGGAGCGGCGGGCTTTGTATCCCCTAGTCTCTTAGGGGCGGGAGGAACAGGTGGAGCTCGCCGATTGACAACCTCAGGGGGAGGCCGCGTTCGGAGTTCCGGTGGAGAAGCTTTGACGGCTGACCCTGTATCGTCGAACTTTGGCTTGGCAGGTAGAGGGGGAAAAGGGATATCGACGCCGAAACGTTTATCTCGCTCTCGACTGACAGAGGAGCAGCGGACTGGGGGAACAGGGGGTGGGGAGTCGGATAAATCACCAACATCATCAGCACTGAAAATAAAAACAGAGGAAGTTATAAGACGTTTATTTTGTAAAGGGAATTTGTGACAGGTGGCCACTTTCGGGAGCAAGCAACTTCCGCACTAAGCATATTCTTCCGGCCTTTCCCAGTTTATTTAACACAATTTTAGAACACCTAAAAAATGAAAACTCCAATACATATGATTAGGCAGCGTAGAGCCATACCGTATTTATTCGATTAACCGCCCTGGGCACTTATTATATTTTTGGACCTTGAGAGTGGGCGCTTATTCGAGGCTGGGCGCTTATTAAATTTTCACGATTTTCAACAAGTGTAGTATGTATATTTTGCAAGAAAGCAGTAAATGGTAATAACAAAACGCGAAGATGTAACAAAGCAAGGTTTCTGCAAAACACTCTTAAGAAAACTCCGTCTTCGGGGAAGTCTCAAATTAGTACTTATTCCTTTTTTGGGGGTGGTAGCGGGAAGGGAGTGGGCGCTTATTTGAGTTTGAGTGGGAGTGGAAGGGAGATGGGGTGGGGTGGGGGTGGGCGCTAATTCGAGGTTGGGCGCTTATTCGAATAAATACGGTATATGAAAAACTAAAGACCTTTAAAACGTTAATAAAGTCATTTTCCGACCTTTTTTGGCTGACGGGTACGTTATTCTAAATTCGCGGCAAAATCGATCAAGAAATAGACTGGTCTGTGAAAACCGTGTGACATGAATACAGGAGAATAGGCCGTTTCCCAGTCACGTCAAGCCTCTGTTTCAAAGCGAGGCTGAGTGAGGTTGACATGAAAATGATTTTGTCATTGTCATGCAAATAAATCTGATTTTCATAAGAAAGGTTTTGCAGTTAGCCTCATTTAGAAAGTGAGAGTTTTTGGAACTCGGAAATGGCTTTTGTTCACTGCTAGTTATGAGCTCCTGATAACGATGATTTGGTCTTCCTTTGAAAAACTCCTGACAGAAGTATCGACAGTGGCTAACTGTTTCAATCTTTAAACAGAACATCTTTAACCGAGAAAAACGTTCTTTCATTGAATGCTCCACTTCTAAAAAAACTTACGTTTTCGTTTTAGGTCCGTGACCAAAGGTACTTGCCATAGAATTAAACGTGCTCTCTGAGTTTGTTGAGGGAACGAACATACTCGCTCGCACATTAACAGCGACTGTTTCTCCTGAGGGGGGAACGGGTGCCCTCCGTCTTACGAGAGGCGAACCCCCGGAAAGTTTATCTTTCGAAGGTGAGTCGAGTGAAAGACCCGACACCAGGGGGCTCATTCCTGGAGGCCCCGGAATTCCTTTCAAGAACCCCGTCCCCGGCAGGATCATTTGACTGACAGGTCGGGTTGGTAAATGACGCCGATGGCGCGGAGGAGTGGGAGGACTGGACTGAACCTGACAAAATAAAAAAAATCGCTTGTTACCAAAACATCTGCATGAACTTAAGTGGATCTATTGAAAAATTTCCACTGAAAGAATTCCTTGCGGAATGGCCAAAGGGACGCGCACAATATGTTCGCTATATCAAGGTTTCGTTACATTAAGGTTTTTTCCATATATTTCACCGTTACTGGGCTGAAGAAAATCGCTTGTTATACCGAGGATTTCGTTACATAGAAGTTCGTTAAATCGACGTTCCACTAAAGATCGTTTTCACATGACGTCACGGCGGCCATATTTGTGTAAAAAAAAAACAATGAAACGGCGGCCATGTTGGTTTCCATATGGGTCCTGTAGGTATTGAACAATTTTTCTTTTGTTACAAGAAATTCACAAAGTTGCAGACCACGTGAGTGAAAACGATCTATAAGGATATAAACCTGTTTTAGTCACGTAACCAGCAGCTATGTCAATCAATTGGAACAAAAGAATGCGTTTAAATATTAAAAGAGTTCAAATCCCACAGGACTGGTTTGGGACATCCAACATGGTTAGCATTAGGTAACATCGGCTGAAGTCAGATTGTTTCTTTCAGTAAAATTACATGAAGAACAACTTGTTTTATATTACTGTGTAATATAAAATGAAATAGAAAAAATCCACTGTAATGCTTTGAACCCGGGTCACTTGCTTTATAGCCTACATCCATATCAACTACACCATCGAGGACTAGCTGCCAAATCCAATAATTTTTAAAATATACATGTTCTTATGCCGTACCCCATTACGATATTTAAAACCTAACCGTTTTCAGTTCAGTGCTTAACTCTCTACTGTGTTCTCTCCATAATTGACGCTCTGTAGTTTTGGTTTCTTCAGCTATTCTAGCCTCATTCTACATTCCAGTCTCGTTCCATTATGGAAATAATGCGTTGTGTAAAATTCATAAGGTGTTCAATCTGGTTTCACTGGATGTTATCTAACGCTAACCCATCAACATGGCCACCAACATTGCGGACGTGACGTCATGCGTCAAGGGTCTGTAGCCTTTCTAGCGACTCGTATCTGATCAAAGTGCTTCACTTTTTACCTTCGGCTCAGTGTTTGAGTCATTCAACGACTCCTCGTCACTAAATTCAGGTTTGATATCCATTAAATCTAAGGGATTATCGTAAATTCCATCAGCCTGAAAAACAAAGAAATCGCAATAAATCACCGTAATAGGTGCTCAGTACTTCTCAAAAAGCCACCAAATAAGGTAACGTGCTGACAGGCCATTTCCAGGTTGCCAGAAGCCTCTGTTTCAAAGCGAGGCTAAGTGCGAAGCCATTGATATGAAAATGAATTTTTCATACTCATGCACATAAAACTCATTTTCACAAGAGAGGTTTTGCACTTAGCCTCGCTTTGAAAGCAAGCATTTTTGGAACTCGAAAGTGGCCTATTCATTCCTAGACTACGAGTCGCCTTTTCTCGCGTGGGGTGACTTTCACGCGCGTTCGCGTTTCGCTCGCTCTACTACTATCCCTGAGGAAAAATGGGGGACTACTCGTAGTCTAATTCATTCCATGAAATTTTTATTTTTCTCTGGTTCTGTTCTTTGAATACTTCATGAAAAACTCTTACTTCGTTTAGACCCCAGTCTATCTTGACATTCTCACAATGTCCCAGTTTATCTGAAGCACTCTGTTTTAACTGAAAAATAAAAAAGGACAGGATTATTACCACCTACAGTCGAACCCCTAGGTAAATTCGAAGTGTTTTAAATATGAAGCCCCCTGCAAACGGACGCAACATGACCAAAAACTCCCAACATTGTTGGACGTTACATCCTGCGTCCGTTTCCACACCCTGTTGCATGTTGTTTGTGTGTTGGGAGACGCGAAGTTTGAAGCCGATCAAACTTTTAGCTACGTGCAAACGGACGCAACGACTCCCAACAATGTTGGGAGTTGCCTGGCCAACAAGGTTGCGTCCGCTTGCACGAGGCTTACGAGGTTTACGTAGGCACCGTAATTCAGTGCAGCAAGTAGGTGCATTTAGTAGATGCGTTATACGAAAGGCTCGCTGGTTCAGCTCTCAAGGGGGAACGCCTGTGATGATCTTGAGTAAACCTGAATTACAACTTATGACCACTCGCTAATAAACATCCTCTCCTACTTACCAGTTCAATAGCCTCTGCGTGCCCTGTCCCTTTAGCAATGTCCATGGGTGTTTTCCCTTCTTTATTTTCTGACAAAAAATGCAAACAATACGGTCTATTTAGGCAAATTTGGAAAGTGGAAACTAAGACATCAAAAAGGACAATAGCAATAAAACCACAACTACGAACCAACCAAATTGCAAATACGTGTGCAAGTTTGCCATGAGCACGCGCAAGAAAGCATGGGATGCTGCCACTGGCGGGAAAAGTAGGGTTGGAATTAAGCGCGGGAAAAAAAGTGTGGTGTGGAGCGCGCGAAAAGATGAAGCCGTTGCCACCGTTGCGAGAGGGTGTCAAAGACAGACAAAAAGGAATTGGTAGAGAGCATCTAGCTGGTAGCACTTGCTAAGGATGGAACACAAACGGCTGGCGCAATTGGCTACAGTTGGGTGGGGGAAAATAAATCAAGAGGTTAGAGGTGAAGTGTTGTCGAGCGCGCGGAATAATGAAAACGCTGTCAGTGAAATGAGAACACGTGGTTGTTGTCAATGTAGCACGCTGATAACTGTTCAGGCCAAGAAACGGCTGAGAAGCCAGACGTTGACTCTTTTGAAAAAGAGAAATGGTAAAATAAAACTGATAAGAAATATGGACCTAAATTGAACTTACCTACGCCAAGACTTTCTGTGCCGCCAGCTCTTATCAAGACCCTCATGCATTCCGTTTTACTAGACAGAGAGGCCACGTGAAGCGCTGTGTTGCCGTCCTCGTCTTCTACGTTTACATTATTACTACAAGAGCACAAGAAATGGAAAACTCAAGATCCTTGTGCTTGTTCTGTTAATTGCGACGCTGTTTTCCAGCCAAACACACACTTACAAACGTAACTAAACGCGACAGATCGTCTAGAGACTGAAAAGTTATAACTACGTACCAAGTAAATAGTACATGACCATCTCAAAGTACCACCTAAGAGGTTTCATTTGGATAGTCACCACAAAGGATTTTGTCTTTAGAATCAAGAGATCCACCCTACAAACCTCCTTCGTTAACTCTGTGAGGTTAAGTCAGAGTAAATTATGGACGTCAAGTCTCCTTTTTAACATTTAAAGATGCTTCAACTACCAATGTTGGGGAATACATGGAACTTTGGCATTCCTATTTATTACAATATAGTTTACTTAGGTATTACGTATATGACAAGTACCTTAAATTTACAAAATAAAAACATTAATACTGACTTACCAATTTTGTGCTAAGAAATCGACGATATGAAGGGATGTCAAGTCCTCCTGTTCAACAGCTACATGAAGAGCTGTGGCATTTTTCGGCTAGCCGGGACAAAAAAAAATGTAATGTAATGTTGGTGTTGTAGTTTCTTGATATTGCGGACGGGTGTAATCACAAAATTACGTCATACAAAAGATTGAAAAGAAAGGGAACGATACGCACACCACAACACAATGGTTTACGGTCGCTTCGCCGCACAATGAAGTTGTTTCGCTACAAAGTCGTTCGCTGCAAGTCATTTCGTTGCAAAGTCGTTACGCCACAAGTTTTTTCGCTGCATCATAAAGTCGCTAACCTACAATAGCTTTCGCCACACTGAGAAACACCCAGACCGTCAGAAGGCATACATATCAAGCATAGAAAGGTACACCTTATTCAAAAATGGAGGCAATTTTATTTTTTTTTTATATTTTTGTTAATTTGCCCTTGTTGCCTCAGTTGCACCTGCAGAATTCAAAATTGCTTTTACGGCCTTGAAAGGGGGAATTGAGGGTGAATTGTCAGAAGGACAAAAAAATGACTTTTGCCACCATTTTGGAAAAATCCTGGGAAGACGATAGGAAGACAAGCAACCGACCCCTAGCGTGTGCGGAGATGTCTGAAACCGCTGCCAAACAATCGCGTTTACGTGATACCAGTGATGCTGGTATAGGTTTTCCAGAACGTTCCCTGTAGCTAAGTTACACGTTTTTAAGACTTACATGACCAGGAAGCCGTGTACAGAGCTCTACTCCTTCAGCAAACGCTTGTAAAACCGCTAAGATGTCCTTAGATTTGACAGCTTGGTGAAGCTCCTATCAAAAACAAAGGAAGCTATAAATATCTTTGTGAAGCAGCAATTTATCCGATCAAAACATGAAGTTTCTGTGTACAGATAGCACCACGCGTGGAAGTAACTCTTTCTCGGAGAATAGCGACCCGCAACAAACGCACCTGAAGTATTTTTTCCTCGTTGTCCCCTGATTTTATTGCGTATTTATGTTGAATGTATTTCGCTCGAATAAATTCTTTCCTTTCATCCCTGAAAAGGAAATTAAAAGGTCATGGTAAACATCACACAAAGCTGAGTGCTGTTAATATTTTTGTTCAAAACCAAAGGGAAATAAATAACTCACATGTTACTTGAAGATGTTGGTTTTTCGTTGTAGTCTAAAGTGGCTTCCATAATTTCATTAAATCCGCCGTTTCCTACTGCTTTCGCTTGCTGTTAATACAAGAAAGCAAAAAAATCTATTTCAAGTATTCTATAACCTACAGTTTAGTAATTCAAAATTTTGTCACGCAGTCTTTGGTGTAAGGCACTTAAAACAACACAAAAAATAAGCACAACGCCTTAAAATGGGCAACGGCTGGCCATGAACTTACTAGTAATTCAACAGTGCCGAGTTTGTCCAGTTCAATGGATCGTATTCTAGAGATGTGTACTCCCATATCTCGGTGAATCCCAGAACACTCTATACACAGCAAAACCCCGAGATTAGTGGCCAGCCACGTGGGATCTGTCAAAAAGAAAAGTAAGTACCGTCTGTGAGAAACTTCAATACTCCCATTTCAAGCAACATTTTAACAACATGGACTCTTTTTCACGGACTCGTACGCCACTTCCACATTAGCCTGTTCCAGGCTCCGAGATGGTGGTGAAAAGTCGTTCAGTAAAAAGAAATGCGAAAAACGCGCGGGGGCTGGGGAGAGACAGGGCGGCGGAGCCATTTCCCATAATGCACCATATTCGCCCCCCAAAATTGTGCATAAGGATTATTTTCAATTTCTCTTGGGACGGCTGCCGGTAATATCCAGGAGAAATGAAAAACAAAGGTTATGAAAAATTTTGGGGGGCAAATAAGGTGCATTATGCATTACAGTTATGCAAACCCTCGACTTCGTCTCGGGTTTGCATAACTGTCTCGAATTCTCCCAACCCCTCTCGTGTTTATATCAGACTATGCAAACACGGAAAACGTTTTCTATTACTTAATTATTCCACGAGTGCGTGTTGGATATGAGTTGGCTCAGGGCTCCTGGTTGGCTATAATCATCTCATATCCAACGAGCGCGAGTGGAATAATTATTTTATTAAAAACACTCACAAAATATCGAGAATTCTTCCAGACTTTATTTGTAAAAACAACCGATTTTCAGCTTGTTTTTAACTTTGAGAAGACGCATACAGTTACCATATTTGGAGAGCATGGTATAATGGCTCACATACCATGATGGCTAAGCCAATCAGAGCTCTAGAATTGCATTATCCAATGATTCAGTTTTTAACAATATAATTTATGAGGTTGCACAGCGTAATTCCATTAAAAATTACAGCGGTTTTTGTTTCTTACCTTTCCCAGAACAGTCCGCACAAGTGTCGTTTCCTGGCAAACGCCGTACTTGGGACACAATACTCTGCCTTAGCTGATAACAGGACAAAATATAGATGTAAAAGGTATGACCGTGCAGTTACTTACAGTTCTATTATATTCTAGCGGGCAGCAAGCGAGTGGAGATGATTGGAGCCGAGTGGAGCCTGGGAAGGAGGCTAGTAGAAAGAACCTTTAGTTAACTTCAGCACAGAATTGACCAAAAACAGCAATATCCTAGAGACAAAGCCCCTCGATGTCTTCCTTTGATGTAACTTAGCAGGTTATCAAAAATGGAACCAAATCAGAAATGCGTCTTAGCAAAAAACATTTATTACCTCTTTCAGGTTGCTAACTACAGAGCAGTTCTCTTCTGACTGAAAAACGAAAAACAATAGCGAACGTGAAGCAGTTGATTCATTTCTAAAACTACAGATATTAGGGACGGCAACGAGGACGTCAAAAAAGCAAAAGGATCAATAAACAAAAACAACAATTTTTCACATGCATCACGCTTTTTTGTACATTTCTTTACCGTCACTGCACGACTACGACGTAACAATGCCTTATTTCACGTTTTACAGAGGAAGTACATAAGCGACGACGAAATTTCCTTTCTCTTTCTGAACTTGGATATGGTTCTTAGGAATGAAATGAATGAATAGACATTTTTACCGATACGGCGGCCAAAGAGAATTCGTTAGATTTAAGGAGCATTATGTGATGCCCAGGGGGCATGAGCACATTCCGATATATTCGGTTCGTATTAACGGGGGCCTTTTTCTTAAAGTTTTCCTAGAATAAGATTGTAATGGGAAAAAAGATCGTTGTGCAGTGTTTGGATGTAATAATGATCGCCTTTTTCCCGAGAAATATATAGTGAAAGACCATATTTCTAATACCAAGTGAATATAACGGATCGTGCTCATGCCCCCTGGGCATCCCATAATACTCCTTTAGATCGAATTAATTCAACATGGCCGCCGTATCGGTAAAAAGGTCTAGTCAACTTTAGAAGGATTCACCTACAATTGTCAAAGTTAGTGCCTAGGAGAAATCGCGATGAAGATTAAAAAAACACGAATTCATCTTTTTGGCGACGTTTCAGCTACTGAAATGATTTGTTGGGTGGAGTAGAACTACTTCTTTCATGACTAAAACAACAGAGACGAGTACCTCGGCTTTGTCACTGTCACCGAACGCCTTCTCCAACGCTTCGGTCCGACTGTTGTTTAGAACATGTACCCACCTGAAAATCATGAACGCAAAGATAAATTGGTTTACTATTACTGAACATCAGTCAGTCCGAGTTAGTCTGTTTGTTTAGCACCAACGTAATCCACTTACGTCTCTAAATCGGCTTCATTGTCAGCTTGAAATAAATACGTTCTATTGTCTGCAAAAAAAAATCAGAATCGTAAAACCATTATATTGCCATCATATAATAATTTGGCTTATGGGTTAATTAGCATGTAACACAATGAATCAGTCAATCAATCAATCAATCAGTCAGTCTACTCAAAATGCCAAACTGTAGGCCTCTGGTCATGATGATATATTAAATTAACCTCACCAAACATTAGTTCATGCTTTTGCACATTAATGGTTAATAACCAATAATGGTTAATAATAAATTGGATACGACAAAAATTCCCAAATTTCACCTCTGAAAAACCTGGTACTGAACGAAAATACTGGGTTCATGTGAACAACTACACCGTAGGATTCAGTCTAAAGAATACGAAATACAGTCGACTCCCGATAATTCGAACCTTCAAGGGAAACAGAAAAAAGTTCGAGTCATCGAGGGTAAAATTGTATAGGAACAAGGGCCTAGGAAATGTTCTGAAGGGAAATGAAAATTGCTTCGAGTTAGGGGGAGGTTCGAGTCATAGGGGGTTCGAGTTACTGGGAGTCGACTGTAAGTAAGGACTATTGATTGTGCCTCCAAAAATAAGTGTGGAAGGGATGACGTTGAAAGTTTGACAAATTTTTTTTTTCTTGTGAAAGAACTTTAAGAATACTTAGATACTATCAGTAAAAGGAAAATATAACGTGGATCACCAACCTATACAGAGCAAATAATGTTATGAAAGATTGAAAACCTACGTGATATAATGTTAAAAGTATGTTTCTTTCCATCCTCTTCCTGAAAAAATAAGAGTTTTGACTCGGTTACCATAAAAATTGGACAATAATCTCCAGAGCTTATATCCGTGTTTATGAGATTTATATTTTAAGGGGCTACAGTATTAATACTAAATGATGTTGGAGCATTGACTAAACAACACAACAGCAAAAAAACAAAAACATTAAAAAAATGAACACCGTATAAACCATGAATGGCAGCACAACAACTAACCATCAACGTGTTCGCAGAATCGAGACATACCCCGTTTGTACGGTGGATCCTAGATCATTGAACCTGAACAGTCATATGAAAATGCACATCTGGGCTTGTCTCATAATGTTCCGGTATGGTACATGTAAGGCGGTTTAGCTATGTATATCAGGGCAATTCCCAAATATATACTCCCGGGGATCTCATACGGAGGAAGGCTCGTTGCATTTAGAGTTTGGGGGAAGGGACACATATTTGGAGGGCTCGTTAACTGGGAAGCTTATTTTTTGCTACCATAAATATAAGTTAAATCTATTTAAAAACTCAGCTTGCCGGATATATACTTACTTTTACTTGACAAACAAGAAGATTAAGAGTTTGGGTTGGTCGACTTGACTACAAAAACAAAGCACATTTAGGAAGTTAGACCGTGGCCAGAATCATGACTTACACACGAAATATGTGCAGAATATTTGTATGGGCGTTTACAATGGCCAGCGGAAGGCGAGCCGTTGTAAAACCCATACTTAATTGTACTCGAGAAATGAGTATAGAGATTGGTAGGTAAAGTTAACGAATGCTAAACAGTTATTGGATGCGTTTTTTGTGATATCTCGAATAATCCAAATCGGGGTAATTAAGTGTCTGGCCGAGGTTTATAGCACTTACCGAGACCTAGATTTTTCCGGTTATCATAAAAACCGAATCTAATAATTACTTTTAATTTTTTGTGGTGTCAATTTTCTTAACACACCGATGCACTGAGCATAGTTTGAAGTCATTTCTCTCACAAATCATGCACTACGCGTGCAACCTACGGACCAGTCAGTTATCTACTAGCAGATAACTATCTTACCTGTAGGTTGTGGTGATTTCCAAAAATTAACTGAACGCTCTTAGCCAATGAGAATACAGATAGTGAGTTCAATGTATAAAAATGATATCTAGCTGAGCACACCTGTTTGTATCAAAAGTTTTAAATTCTATTGTTGAATAATTCCTCGACACAGGTTCACCTGTGTCTCAAACACTACCTTTCGATTTGTCATAACCATAATAAATATTTACTGCCTTTTACAAAAAAGACGTTTCTGGGTTAATCACACAAGCAAACCTATCAAGGATACCTGCAAAATCTTGCTATTTATTGAGAAAATTCTTACCGGTGAGTGAGCTAATGTAAACATTCCTTCTTTGGCTATGCAATACCTCTTTTGCCAAACTTTTCGAATACTGAAATACAAAGATACAAAGAAAAATATTAAGAAGGTGACACACCTTAAGTGACTAAGCGTGTCCTTGTCAGGTCAAGATTGCTGGACATGGCCTTGCCTTTTTTTGTCTCTCTCTTTCTCTTCCATGAAAACGCAAGAAAAGAACTTGATTCGTGCCAATTCTGTTTTGTCGGAGTTGTGTAAAACATCGTACACATTTCTTAAGAATTCAAAACTTTTCTCGGCTTCACGTTCAAGCTAGAAGTGCCGCCATTAGCTCAGTAAGTGTTTGTTATTTGTTTTATTAGCCAATGGATGAAAAGACCAAAACATGGACTCTTCGCTTTCCCGCCAAAGAAAACCCTACTAAATATGGAGAAGGCATTGTTCGATCGGCCAATCGTGTTGGTTGCACTATGACTTCAAAGCAAAGTATCGAATGATTTCTAGAAAGTTCTTGGGCATGAAGTTTTTTCACGTGAGCGTTTGCTTACCAACAAAAAGCCACGTGCGTTTGTATCCGTTCGATAAACCAATCAAATTGCTCTATTTCCGTTCATCTGTTGTTTCTGTTTTGTTCGTACGTTTTCATTTCAATGTCATACGAAAATCGCTCTAATAGACCTATTCGGCTAATTCAATGTTGTACCCAATTCAAATCTCTCGGGGATAAGATTCTTTGTGTATTGTATTTGCATTATAATGTGGCATTCACATTTAAATGATATGGAAATTCCTTAAACAAAACGTTTTATTCCCAAAGGGTTTGAATTGGGTACAACATTGAGTTAGCCGAATAGGTCTATTACCGCGGCATACACGTATGCGTATCATATGTTGTTGTTGCATTTTTTTTTCATTTTCCTTTGTTTTCAAATCATTATCATACATTACCATACCCAAAAACAAAGGATATAAAATTTAAACCAAGGATAAAATTGAAACACAACATATATATCAAGAAGCCTCCAATCAGTTGAGGCGTTTAACACTTTCTTTCGTTCGCTAACAATTCAAGCCACGCAGAAACATAGCTACTGCGCTTTAGGGCCTGTTTACATGGAGTGGGGGACCCAGGTCAAGTGGGGTTGGTTTCTTTTGTTTTCACGCTCTGGGGGACATAAAACAAAAGAAACCTACCCCACTAGGCTAGACCGGGGTCCCCCACTCCATGTAAACAGGGTCTTAGACTCTGATGATAACATCCATACATGTTATTCAAGACTAAAGTGTTGCACTTGATCGGTAATAACAAAAACAATACAATACGACACTAAACAATACAATGCAGTAACTTTTTCGTAAAGAGTTATGGTAAAAGTTAAGCTCACCCTTCGCTACGCTTTAGTAGAAATCCAGCTTTTTCATTTCCATGCATTTTATCACCTTGCTGTCCATGTAAGCTGTAGCCTGCCTTGCTCTGTGATGACTAGTAAAACAAACATTTATTTTAAAAAACACACGCAAAACTAAACTGGTATAAAGATTCGAGATGGGCCAATTTTCACTCCGAAAAAAATACAGTTGAACCGCTACTAACAGCCACCTCTCCACTATCAGCCGGCACATCTCCAGTAACGGCCAGTTGGTGGACAGTTCATACACTGGCTCTTCTTTAAACCTGTCTACAACGGTCACTTTCTTCTGTCTTTAAGCTGGATGTTGTGGAGAGGTTACCCTGCGTACCAGAGTTTTTTCTCGCGTGCAGCGGGAATTTTCGGTGTTGGCCCAAGGCCGGAAACCGCGCTAGAAAAGTCTCTGGCACCCAGGGTTTGGAGAGGTGGGACTGAACCGCTTTCAAATTCAACTTTATTATAAACAGTGTTTCCTCCTTTTTATTTTTAAAAAAATAGGATAAACTCACGAGGTGTACCCAGTTGTTCTCACAAGTTTATTTCTGTGAAACTGATCTCCATTCCATTTGATTTTGAACCCGGAACTTGAAATCTTCAGAACCCTTTTTTCCCAAGAAACGTTCCCTCGAAATTTCAGTACAATTTGTTGAGCTTTCGAAAATTCCGGATTGCTTGGTCGGAGGAAAGTAAACATTTATAAAAGTCTTTACGCCCGAATTTATTGGGAAATTATAAACTTCGTTTGTCCGGCTTATGTCGGAAAATGAATTATTTACTCACATCTTTTTCTGGTTGTAGTTGGCTTTTGATTTCATTTCTTAACTCAATTAATTCCTTTCTCTCTTCGTCCTGTTGCGCTCTTAGCTAAATAAAAATTGACACGAATTATAACAAGATTTAGCATTACTAAACAAGGGAATGCAACGTGAAGCTATATAAACCTGACTATTCGAACGAAGAAAAAATAACGTAATGACATGAGGTTGGTTAAGTACCCCCCCGGGGGAAACCCCTCAATGGCCCATATGGGGATGTGCCCCTGGACAGGGTATGGCGAGTCTTTCCTAATTATAAACAGGATGAAATTTGTTTATACTCAAAGTATACACAACCTACGAGTATGGCCCAATTGCTCTATTGCAATTGCCAATAAATGGCTTAACACAAGATGACATGCATTTTCTCCTTTGTCCTAAACAGGGTCATAAAATTGAGGCACCCTGAATTGAGGATATAGTCCTAAACAGGGTCAGGGTTTCAAACCCTCAGCTGCTCACCTATACCCAAATATTGCTCTAGTACCCCTAGCCTCCCCCCGAGTCAACCTAGGATCTCCATAAAGATCGGAAAAGGTTGGTTTTCACTGGCAACGGAGACCGGACTCGGAGTGACGTGACCAGAAGTAAAAAGCGTCATGATCTCGAAAAAATAGCTTTCCAACTACGCTTAATTCTAACTCCGTCGCTTATGACCTAGTAAAAAATAGGAGTGGATTTATTTCCAGCATAAGCGTATAGCTATCGCATTTGACCGATGGAATTTTTTATTGTTTTAAGCTCAAAAACAATAAAAAAATTCCACAGACAAATGAGATGGCATTTACTGCCAACGAATCCACCCTATAGCTAGGTTGTGAGAGTCGAGAGCAGTAGCCGAAGAACTAATAATAAGCCAATAATTCACAAAGCGTAAAAACAAGCATTGTGATTGGTTTATCCTTCTGCCTCTGTTTCCGACTCCAACAATCTGGTTTTCATTAGATCGTAAGCGATGGACTCATAAGGGGAATCGGAAAATAGGAATCTTTTGAATCCAACTCCGGTTCGGACTTCATCCGAGAGAGAACAAACCTAAAGCAATATTAGAAGCTTTTAATGACCAATACAGGAACATTTATCTAAGTGCACAATTGTAAGTATTGTAACGTACTTTTGTTTAATAAATAAAATTTTAAAAAAAAAAATTAGAATCTTAAAGCTATGTTCACAATAGCTTTTGCCCTAGCACGAAAACCACAACAGACAGGGCTTTTGTTCACACATAAAATAAGAACAGTGGTTTTAGCGCGATTTCTGTAACAAAGTGAAGCTGCGCAGCGCTGATCTCGCCCAGCGGATAGTCTATGTTCATACTATACTGGATAGCTTAATTCCTAACCTGAGACATTTTGTGACGCCAACGGTGTTTTCCCCGCGAAATGACGTCTGAGAAATGAGTGCACAAATTCCGTACTGATGACGCCTCACTACCCAGATCTGGGTAGTGCTTCTGATTGGTTGAAGCAGATTTCCCACGAGGCACAACCAATCAGAAGCACAAGCCAGATCTGGGTAATGACATGTCATTAGTATGGAACTTCTGCGCTCATTTCTCAGACGTCATTTCGCGGGGAAACCACCGGTGGCGTCGCGAAATGTCGTCTGTTTTCTCAGGCTACTTAGTTCCTTGTCGGCATGAAAAGCGAACCGGTATAGTATGAACATAGTCTAAGTATTAAACGTTTACATGAATTTCTTTCAAATCAATTTTTACAAGCCAGTCCTCCTTAACAAATTTAGCCTTTTCTCTCTGAGGCATAAAATAGTAAATACCAGCCACTTACCTGTTGAAGATTTGCAGCAAGATCCCCTAAATAGCCTCGCATGTTTTCCAGCACTTCAGAACTTCGCTGAAAATACCTACAAAAGCAAATAGAAATGTACATGTCCTTGCTGTATACGCTGTAGATAATAGTTTTAAAAAAATTGCACTAGTTTTTTTTTTTACAACAAATCAGGCCTAGAAAGAGAGGAATAAAATCTGCTAAAGATCAGTTTTGACATCATGATGATGATGATGATGACAGTGGTGGTGGTAGTGGTGGTGTTGGTGGCGGTGATGGCAAGAAGATGACTGTCAATTAAACCCTACGACCATTCAAAACAAAACCTCTTCACCTACAGTACTTTCACATGTCACTGTTTATTTAGTATGGGGTTCTAACTTTTGAGTCTGGGGACAAAATCCTCTGGTGTAACCATTCAAATGAAACCTCCTCAGCTGTAGTACCTCCATATAGGATTACTCAGTCACAGCTGTAGTACGCAACTCCAATTTTCTCAAAGTTTGGGTCTACTTTGAAAGAGGAAAGACAATGATTGACAAAACTCACGTCACTTGAGCATCGTAGAAATCCACAAGATGCTGAGCCAAATCAACTCCTTTCTTGATTTTGATTTCATTCACCTTCATTAAAAACTTGAATCCAATAAAACACAGAATAAATATATATACAGTACTTACAGACTTTTTAACTCTTAATTTGGCATTTGTTCAAGGAGACTATTTATGTTTGATATAACAGTTTTTAGATCTGATACAACATTCATTCTGCATTCAGTCTTTGATTCTCGTGTCACCATAAATACAAATTCTCAAGATTGCAAGAATAAATAAATCTACAATCAAAACTAGTACGTTTACAGGCAGATATACTACTGTGTTTGATCCCTATATAAAGTATAAATACCTCACACATTTGCAACTGAAAATATCTCCTCTCCTTTTCGGTCTCTTCAGCCATCTAAATATATCATTACCAGTAATAATCAGTAAGTAAAATCCAAAAAATCTAAATAAACAGCTATTTTTTAGCAGCAGCAACAGCGCAAGTCGCAGTGGCAGTCACAGGGGTAGTGGTAGTGGTGGTGGTGGTGGTGGTAGTGGTAGTGGTAGTGGTAGTAGTAGCAGTACATCTGCAGAGAGGTTCTACCATTCAGGATAATTATGCAAATTGTAATCATAAGTGTATTAAGGAGAACACCTTGCTAAAACAGACACCAAGGGTTATGGTCTGTGCCTTCCTTTACTCCTTTTAATCAACAATCTATTAGACCCACATCTCTAGGACGGACACACACAGGTAGTGTAGGTCCCAAAGGTTTCTTTCTTAGAGAGTTGAATGTATAATTAGAAGATATGAAAAACATATTTACGTTGTAACTTCGCAACACTTTCAACTTGAACTTTATCAAAAGTGTGAATCAAAATACCTCCCCTCCGGTGACTTCTGTCCTGAGGCAGCCAGCTTCCTGGGCCATTTTTTTCTTTTCTTTCTCAATCTTTGCCCTACAACACAGTTCATGAGATCACAACTATTAAGCCTCACCCCTAAAGAAAATTATCAGGAGTCTTGAAATATCATGTTAACTTGCAGTGCTTAGTTGTGGAAGGAAAGTCTCTGCAAGTTTGAAGAAAAAAGGATGAGGGAGCTTATGCTGCATTAGCCTGTGAGCAAGCAGTCTGGGGCCCTGGAGAGCTTGCTTGCCCCCAATATTTAAATTAATACTACATTTTTTAATATGGAAACTTTTCATCTTTCTTCAGAAAAAAAATTATTGTATAAAAAATAAAAATACTGAAAATGTGAATAATATCAAATACAACACATCTTAAGTTGTTTCAGGTTCTTACACTTTAGCTTCATAATCTTTCCAGGCTTTGTCAAATGGTTTTCTCAATTCCTACAAAACAAAGTTTAACAGTTTTACACATAGTTAAATATTAAGAGCAGAACCAAGTAAGCAAAGCATTGATGTTGGTAAAGAAGTCAAGTCTAAGACAAAGATGAAATTAACTGTGGGATTAAAAAAAACAGGGCAACTCTTATAAAATCCTTAGTGACCCAAATACTGCATTATCACCTACACTGTACGTCAGAAGTTACATGTACAGCCAGCTAGCAAAAGCAGAACTCATTTATTTAGCACACAAACATAAGCAATTGAATGAGTGAGTTAATAATTGCAAGGTCCCTTGTCCACTGGGGAAGTGTAGGTTAAAAGTAAGCTGCCAGCTCAATGAGAAAATCTTCACATCCCAAACAACTGAACAGGACTCTTTGGAAACCCTGCTCACATCAACACAGGGAACCCACTACAAGGTAACAACATAGAATATACCATAAAATACCATAAATCTTCTATTAAGCCCTCCCCCTCCCCCCCGCTCCCTCTAATGAGGGTTCCTTTTCAGGAGAAGAAAGTTGATAAGCCCTGCCCTCTCTATTAAGCCTTCCCTCCCCTCCCCTAATAATTTATTATTATTCTCCGCTACTAAATGATAGACTGTATTAATCAATCGTGACCATAAAACTTCATGTGGACTGATCTGGGATGGTTTATTTAGCAACTGGAAGTTTGGATTTGGTTCTGATCCTCGGCTGCATGACCTAAAACTTCCTGTACCCTAGCTTTTCCTCTTTGTATTCTAGTTCTCTATGGAGAACTGATACCTGCATCATCATTTCTAAATTAAATGAGCCCCCCTTCTCAAATAAGCCCCCCGTCTCTATTAAACCTCCCCCCGCCCCTCAAATGTGCTTGAAATAAATAAGCCCCCAAGGGGCTTAATAGAGGATTTACCAAATGTACTTGTACAATCCATAACTATAGTGAGTTTATTGCTTATTTGTTAACTTCTGCTCCATGTTCAGAGCCCTAGCTGCCTTATGCTTGAACTTAAGCACTACACTCTTTGAGACTTACCCCTTTGACATCCTTTAAATCTCCTTTTAATAATGTATCAAGAGGAATTAAAATCATGTTGTAATAGTTTGTGAACTGCCAAAAGAAAATGATTTGAGCTATTAATGAATAACATTCAAAATAATTCTCAAAATAAAAAGCAAAAGTAAAATTGAACTCATTCAAAATAATTATGTTGTTTAAAATTCAAACAGACTTACCAATATTTTCATGATAGAATCCAGCTCCTGAAACAAACAATAAAATTAACCTTTTTAGTGAAGTATTACTGGAAAACAAAGATAGGAGGGCAAGTAAAAGAGAGAAGCTGAAAGCCATTGAATAGCAAATACCTATTGCCTTAAATAATTTTATACAGTACATTAATGCAGTAGCAATTACCGAATGCTCCCTCCACCCTCCGGATCTCTCAATAAAATGTTGTGTGTATTCACTTCTACCGTATGTCTCTGGATGAACATTGTGTCAAAAGTATGGAAAAGTCAGAGCAGAAAAGCCACAAACTTCTATGGGGACCAGAGCATGTTCTCACGAGAAATTTTATAATTTAGACTCTCTGAAATTCTATTCCTTGAGCTCCCTGGACCGAAAACAGTTTACCAGCAAAGTCTGGGTGGATGAGAAAATGGAAAGAAAATGATGTACCATCTGTAAGCTTGCGATTGACACATACAAACTTTGTCATCACCTGGTAAGCAGCACCAGTGCATCACTGTATGTTTACAGTGTTATCTTGACATTAAGAATGAGATTGATGAGTCAAACCTCTACAATGTTGCAGCTGTATGCATGTGGACAAAAGTTTATAGAGATCTTTACCTTGAATGTAACTGAAAATTTAAAAAATGCAGTTCCTGAAAGAGTAAAAGAAAACCAAATTACAAGCATATAAAAACATTTTCTTTGAGAAGTGACATGCTGCTTTTATCAAAATGACCAAACATTACAGGTCTCATTTATAGTAGTTTGAGCATGATCATCCAGGTGAATGTAGCCCTGAATAGGGCTGTTGTTGACAGTGACTGACATTTCGGCAACCTGTGCTGTAGTCACGTTCAGAGTAAAAGTGAGTTGTATCACGTGAGTTGATGGTTATTACAGGACTTGAGCCTCACCTATTCCAAATCTTCTTTTGATTTTTCAACTAATTTACTTCATTTAATCCTATCTTTATTAAGGATTTCGGTTATTTATTATTTTGAGCTAATTTAATTTTTGCACTTCTTTGAGGTAGACTTAGCTGCTTTGTAGTTTGCCGGTCCCTTATTATCTGATTGCTAATCTTAACATCTAACTTTTTTGTTCTGTTTTATACACACAACACTCCTGTATACACGCATCCTCCCTGACCCCACCTTACCCACTATTTTAATGGGAACTTGGGAGCCCTTTCATTAGGGATTCCATACCACAAATGTAATGCCACAAAGGTTGCTACAATCTTGGACAAAACTGTTGAGAAAATTGTATACTTGGGGAGCACTTTTCCAAACACCGTAGCTGTACTGTTTCTTTCCACTCCCCCTTCCCCTGAAAGCAATGTTGTTGTGTATTCAAAAGAAAGCCTGATCCCTGGGTGTTTCTAGGAAGCAACACTGAACTGGGGGAAGGGTATTTCTTTCTGCAAATTAAAGGCGTCATTTCGGAAATAGTTTTGTTGCATAGGAAAGTGGACATGATGGGGAAAACTTTCTCATTCAAGTAGTTTTGTCCGGGATTGTAAATCTATCTATTGTTTTTTGTTTTGCTTTTTTTTAAATTTTTTTTTACAAAGGTCTAGAGCCTCACCTATTCCAGTATCAGCTTCCTTTGAGAGGGAGGATGAACCAAGCTTTTCAAGACTCTCTGCCAATGATAACTGACTTGTTGAATAATCTAGGTTTGAATTACAGAAAATAAATTAAATTTGTATAAGGTAATAGCATGATTTGTAGTGATATTTGGCATAAATACCACAAGAGGTTAGTGATATTTCAAAATTGTTATACGTAACTTCATGAGCTGTTTAAGGCCAGTGAAATTTGAGACAATTTTGAAATATCACAAGTGCTATTTTATGCCAAATATCATGCACAAATCATGCTATCATTTGTTTATACTACTACCCGCAAAAGGTTTGTAATTTTCATGTGTAGGTACTTCAAATTAAGCTGAAATACCACTGCTCTAAGCCAATCAAATGGCAGATATTTCTCATGTAGTAGTAAAAAGAGTTTTACTGAATAACTACTGGCATGTATCTAGCCTGAGTCACAGATGAATCTAACCCTAGTACAAAGCAGCCCCAATATCCTTGTTCTTGGCCCCAAATGGACTCAACGAATTCCCTTCAACCTGATTGGCAAATCAACAATGTCTTCTTTAACAGACCAATCATGACATATACTCAAATCCTGGTACACAAGTGGCTCCCCAAAATAAGGATTTCCGTACTGTTTTGCAGACAGACTTAGTAAGAACTTTAGTTCCGTCAGTCGCACAGGCGACCCTGTGTAAGTGGATAACTGGAGAATATTATGAAACAGTTCATTTACACATACATTGAAGCACAAATTTTGAAATTCTGATTTATGGTTTCAACCAAGTTTTATTATGATTTTCCTTTGTCTCCTACCCCTTAATATTCGTAAAACATGGCTTTTATAAGTCATTTAATTTATTACATCTTAAGTTCTTGTAACCAACAACAAACTTACTAATACAACCAGATTACTGCAGCCAACAAATTTTTACAATATTTCAAATTCAGCTGGAATGCTCCAGATTGTTTGTAAATCTACATCATCCTAAGTTGATTTCAACTATTGCCATTTCATTTGCTAATTATTTATTTATTATTTATTATTACTTTATTTATTAATATCCAATCAAGAGAGAATATCTTATGTATTTACAATGCAAAAAAATAATAAATAGTAATAATTATACACAACTGGATAAACTTACTCAGTCCTGAAGCATGAACAGCTTTGCTTGATTTCTTCAGTTTGTTGAGTGTGTTGTAATCTTCATCAAGACTCTGAATAAAAAAAACACCTTCAGAAAAACTTTCAAGATACCAATTATTTTAGCCCTTGAATGCATGAAGATGTCTGCACCTCAATGACAAAAATGCCATACTGAAAACATAAAATGTGACCGTACACGGGAAAACATACCTTAACGCTTATCCGTTAAATGCTCTCTAACGGACGGATAGCTAACGGATTGTTAACGGCCTTCACACCATTCTAACGTTTTGTCCTAACGTTCTAACGGTTATCTAGTTGTGCCTAACGGATGATCAAAACGTTCTAACGCTTTCTCCTAACGGTCTAACGGCTAACTAAGTATGTCTAACGGATGAAGAAAACGTTCTAACGGTTATGCAGTTTGTTCTAACGGATCGCGTTTAACGGTTGTCTAACGCTCTACATCTAGGGACTTTTAACGTTTGTCTAACGGTTTACATCTAAGGACTTTTAACAAACGAATAGCATAACAGTTACTCCAGAAGCCGGTCAAAAGCTCTGATTGGTCAAAAAAGTAATTTTACATTCTTTCATCTATTGTTTATGAATGAGGGACAAGAAACATAAGGTGAAAAAGGTCAAATGTAAACGCAATGAATCTACTGCAAAAGAGTTAATATTCCTGGAATATAATAATATTCTTCAGAAGAAGAAGCATTTGAGTTTTGCTCAAAACTTTGCTATAATAGACCAGGGGAAACAAGACTACAAGGTTAATTATGTAAACACTGATTTACATCATCAGTATGGCATTTTTGCTTTCTTTAAGGTGCAGACGTGTCTCCCACGAAATGTCCCAATTGGTGAGGAGCGAGAAGAGATGGCTGCCAATATCAGTGTGCAAAGAAAGTCGGTGTGCGACAAACGCAGACAGACTTGCAGACCTGCAGACTTGCAGACTAGCAGACTTGCAGACCTACTTTTTTTGTGACAGGGCTTTGGGCTAATTTTATTCATCCTCTGTTTACTGTTGGCGAATCGCAAAGTATGTATGAGGCAAACAACAGCGCTAGCGGGCTGCAAACACAACAGTGCCCGGTTCGACAGGTGACTGGAAATCCTTGCAGTGGAAGACTTAACATCGGAAGAACGGTGACCTAAACTTCAGTGAGAGCAGCGAAGAAGAAGACGAGTGGGATCATCGAGCGACTTTAAAACGGAAGGACATCTGTGAGCAGGAAATAAGTCAGCACAGAATTTGATTGTCGGCGAATTTCTGTAATCGTCCATCGTTCTGCTAGTGATAAGCTAGCCGTTGTTCACTCGTCTTGCTTGTTTCGGGCTGAGTCTTATTCCGGTCAAAGAGAGAGAAAGAGTGTCTGGCAAGGTTTCCAATCAAAGATTTGTGAACTCGTGTCTGGTAAAATCTCCAAGTGTTTCTATATACACTGTTGTACGCACCTTATAACTTCATCTGTGCTTAACGAGTGTCTTTTGGTCCATAACTTTCACTGAACCAACTGCTCCACAGAATATCACTGATAACACGTAACGCAAAAGAGTATCGAAGTATGACTGCACAATAAATGTCACAAAATCTACCTAACCGGTCCCTTCGAAATTTTCTGTCTTCATCACGTCATCATTACCTACCGATTCCTCGCGGCCCCTGTTCAAGCAAATCGAGATTTTTTCTACCATACTGACTGTATATTACAACTGTAAGTACTTTCCTTGATATACGCGCGAGTTACTAGAGTGCCACCTCGGGATTGAACCTGCGGGGGCAATTATCCCCCCCCCCCACTCCCCGTGAGTTCCGAACGTGTCTGCAAGTCCGCAAGTCTGCAAGTCTGCAAGTCTGCAAGTCTGCAAGTCTGCAGGTCTGTAAGTCTGCAGGTCTGCGGTCTGCAAGTCTGCAGTCTGCGTTTGTCGCACACCGAAAGAAAGTACTGTCCCATAGCCCGGGGCTACTGGATTTTCCTATCGGGCTAGTGAATTCTGTTTTTAACTTGCCCGACGGGCAAGTGATGTTTTATGAGGAATTTTAATAACAGAAGAACAAAACGTTTTTGGGGCTAGTTGAAATGATGATGTCTGGGCTAGTAAATGCTAGCTTCAGCTTGCCCGAATGGCAAGCTGTAAAAATGATTTTCTTTGCACCCTGCAATATTTATCTAAGTTAAACAATCCATTATTGCTCACCAGCTCAGAATATTTTGGCACTGTTGAGTGCTGGAACCAGTTGCATAGACACAACATAAATTAAGGACAAGGGAGAGAATCTTGAGTAGAGCAACCAGGAACTCAGCAAGCAGCTCAGCTTGCCTTCTCATATATTAATAAGACAAAACGTTTACGAGAAAACCTTTGTAGGCATGAGCCGAACCAGTCCAGTTTAGTGGGCTAGCCGGGCATAATGAGCTGGCTTAACTTATACATGTATAAACAGGCCCTAAGAGTTCTGGTACAACTATAGTGCAGCCTTGATGATGGTAATGATGGTGGTTGAGGAAAACAAGAACAATGCATGTGGACTGATTAAAATCAAACACAAGGAATTTACCAACCAAAACATAGTTATGGATTGAAGAAAATTGGCTACTTCCTCTACTATTGCATTTGAAACTGGTATTCAGCATAAAGAAATGCTGTTTATAAAACTGTATTTTGCAAAAATTCTGTTTAACCCCTTGGCTACCAAGGACGTATAATTTTGTTTAGTAAAATCCAATTAGTGGTCTATTGCATTATAAATGCTGCGTTCTGATTAGTTGAGCTACTACTGGGCCATATGTTATAGCCCACTAGTAGTGAAAAGTGCCGGCCTTGGCGGCTGAATCGCGTTTTGCTAGCTAAATTTGTTTTGTCTCAATATTTTTGACCAACTAGTTGGATTTTACTAAAACAGTTATCCCTCTCGCCCTCATGGGCTATTAACTCAGAGCCCATTCGGGATTGAGGAATAATCATTAAATACATCCTGTGTGAGGTCACTCAGCAACCAAGGACGTAATATATGTCTTCCAACATGAAATCACCAAAAGTCAGGTTGTTCAAGTTGCCTGAAGAAATGAACTCCGGTCTTTGAGAAAGGTCTGGTCAGTTGCTGGGTGTATTTGGCTCTGGTAGGCGAGGGGTTAACAATGACAAAGTGTACTACAAGGAACAAAGATTTTTGGAAACCCAAAAAAATTGGGTCAGATTCTTAACGTTCCTAAAAACCATTAAAATGGAGAAAAAAGAGGGATGACCTAGTGTTTTCAAATTAATTGCCTTAGACATAAAAGTTTAATCAGATTCAGAGTCTATTAAAATCTTCAGTATAAATATTTAAATTGAAACTGGAAAATGAAAACTGCTTATATAAAAAAGACAACAATGCATGCAGGGAACAAATTCAAAACATTTTTGGATTTTACAGCCCTCTAAAATGTTCCTTACCCAGTTACCGGTGGTAGAGGACAGTATATTAGAATAAAAGAAATATTTCGTCACCGTGACCATAACAAAAAGTTTACTGTCTTAAACAAGATTTATCACTTGTCAAATTCAAATAAACTTATATTATAAGCTTACATGTTTCACACAAGTTTCATATTTCTTCAAACTTAAATACATTGTCAGCGATACCTAACCATACAGCTACTGCTTAAAATTCTACATTATATATAGACGAATTCCAAAGAGGACAAAGAAATCTAAGCTTATTGGAAATCGTTTTCCGCGAAACCTGCCATGTTTATAAATAACATTGGTGATCATAGAATATATCAATTATCGTAATTAAAAATCGAACCTTATTAGATCTAAACACCTAAATCCGCTGTTATTAACACTAACCGCCAACGATCAAGCACTTTAGTTCCTTATTATGCAGCATAACATTCAACAATCAACAAAAATCGAGTAAGTACCTAATGAAAAGTGAAAACAAAATGCTCACCTCCTCTAGCGATCCGACAGTGTTTCGACATAAGCTCATTGTTGATATGAAATTGGAGGTTGTCGGGGACGAAACGTCCTCCCTAGCTTCGTCGAGGAAGCTTCTAACGCTTATTTTCTCAGGCATGGTTGATGTTTTTGCCAAGTGATGTGTTCTAACAACTCATTTCGGTAGCATTTTTACGGCGAACTTCCGAGGATTTCGATCGAAAGGTTCCGGCGAATTATGCGGTTAGTGTCCAGGCCCAAACTGCCGGTCACTCCTACCACGTACTTACCGCATTATATTCCGACCAACCCAAACAAGGATCGAAGATTTATGACCAGGAACAGGAAAACATGAGCTCTAGTGTCAGGGGAAATAATACTTACTCATTATCAGAAGGATCTGCTGAGAATACTAAAGGTTCTTTTCGTTACAGGTACTTCCTGTCTCTCTTAAGCGCACGAAAAGCGGAAGAGGGGTAGCAAGTATTTGAAAATCTCAACTGAAAATTCTCCCGAGCCGAGCACGGCGAGCAGACATGTTCCGCCACGTTGCTTTGTCAATCTTTGCAGTTTCGATTTCTGAAACTTATCCCAGACAATTGTCCCTCTTCAGGCCCCGGTTGTTTAAAAGTTGGATAGCGCTATCCACCGGATAAATAGCTATCCGCGCGCAGCGGATGAGACCAATTGCGTTATCCACTAGACAGGGATTTTTCCAATGGATAGCGCTATCCACCTCTTAAGCAACTGGCCCCAGGTTGTTAGGGTGAAGAATCTTCTTCCGTGGTTTCCAGTTTCTCTTGCCGGCTCCTGAGGCATGCGCACAACTTTGCGTTGCAGGCGTAGACAGGGGAGGGGGAGGGAGGGAAAAGGGTGAGGGGATTGGGAGAAAAGTCCCCACGGCAAGAACACTGAGAAGGCTTACACGAAAATGAAGAACAACTGGAAAAAAAAAACAAGAACAAAACAAAGAGTATCAAATATTTTTCCGATTTTCAGCTTGCAAAACAAGACTTTTTCCAGTCAGCCCCGGTGGAAGGTTTGCTTCAGAATGGAAATTTTAGGCAAATGCATATTCTCAAGACAGGATAAAGCTTTATCGTCTCTTGATATTCTACAGTTCGTATGGATCAGTTTACTCTTTTTCTTACCCTGAGTATTCAGGAAGTTTACTAATGAAGGATTACACAAGACCCCGCGCTTCTTACTAGCCAATTTTTCGCTGTCAGTACTATCCTGTCGTTGTGGTTTGCTTTAAAATTGATATTCTTACCAAGAGGCTGCGTTCCTTTCGGTCAGCGACAGGAATAGGTACCCCTGGGGATGAGGTTGTTCTTGAGATTAGCCGTCTTTTCTTTCGCCTAAAACTTGCACTCGTAAACGTAAATTACGTTTTTGCTCATTTCAATAAAGTTTTTAAAAAGGTTAAAGGCCCGCATGTAGAATAAACAGAGAGGATGACCATTAATTTTTTTTGAATAAATGTTTTCGTCATAACTGTTGTTCATATTTCTTATATATATTTTAGCAAAGTAGCTTTTTTAGAAAGAATTTGTTTTCATCTACCTTTGGCTTTTTGTTTTCATTTTTTTTTTGGCCAAAGCATCTCATTTTGCACGGGCGTTTATCATTATTGGCCAGTTTAGTTTTTGAACATAACCTTACAGTATCAAACTGAATTTCCAACTCAGAAATGCGTTGATAGTATTTATAGAGTAACGACTTGCCGTTTTTTCATTAAACCCCTGCCCAAAACAACAGGAAAACTCAATTGGCTTCTGTCTTCTCTCCCTTGTGGATTATGCCTAATTTTGACCGAGAAGGCCTCGGGAGACGCCGCGTTGACAACTTTCTTCTACAGGATAAATCTTTTACATTCTACATATATTGGCCCGGCCACAGCTGCGGCCAGTTGTTCAAAAGCGGCATAGCGCAATCCAGCAGACAAATCAATATCTAAGGGATAAGTACTAGGGAAACCAATTTCACTACCCACTTGATAGAGAAATTTCATTCTGTTCTGAGAGCGTTCATTATCCTTGCACCTTAAACAAATGGGGTCAGATATATATGACAAGTCCTTACTAAACCGATATTTACATTGTATCAGTCATCAGAATATTACTCGATCTAGCCCATGCATTTCTAACATCTTATGACCTCTCTTAGTATCACTCTTGAAATTCTTTGCTGGGGTCATTCACAAATGGACAACATATTTTGTTTGGTCAAGAGTGTCCAATGAGCAATATCAATACCATACAATATCAGTTATCTATTCATGATCATTAGCGGTGGAAAAAATAAAAATCTCTCAACCCCCAACTATTAGACCACTACTACTAAGAGGCCGTGCCGCAGCTCGAAAATTGGACGAAAAAATGGATTTGAACAAATTTGCTCCTTGCAAATATGCCGTAAATTTGTAACAACCAGAGGAGTAAATATGGGGCAAAGATGGTAAATGACACATTTGCATACCAAAAAACAGGGGTGTAAATAACTGGGCAAATGTGGCATTTAACGTCTTTGCCCAGATTTACTCCTCAGTTTTTACAAACGTGCGGAGTCTTTGCAAGGAGCAAACTTGTGCAAACGATCCATTTTTCGTCCAGTGGGACAATTTTCCATTTTGCTGCCTCGAAGAGATGCAAGGCAGTGGGATAAACCTAGATTATAGACGGGACGTGTTCTATGCCTTTTTTTTAATACTGGCAAAAGCTGCTTCATCCTCTCTTGATACTGGTAATTTTTCTCCGAAAGCCGGTGAATGACGAAAAAAATTAGAGTGCTGTTTATAAATACTTTTTTCGGTTCAACCCCATGCTCTATTGATGAAATGGCATTAATCCTATTAACTAATTGTAAAGAAGGCGGATAAACTTCTAATCTGCATTCCCACCTTGTAAAAGAAGTTAAAGCTGGTAATTAAAATACTTTGTAAGGTGGGTTTCTGAAATCTAAAAAGAATCTAAAACCCCAAATTAATCGGGGCGTGTGGTAGTTCTCAGCTATAATTAATCATACTAATCACAAATATCAGAAAAACCTTCTCTTTGCATGAGTCCGAGGGTAAACATGTTTTTGGACCGCGGTGACACTATCAAAATGCCCTGAATTCAACTGACCAATATATCAATAAACGATTATATACCTTTTAACTATCTCCGGACTTGCTCTTGTAAAACTCTGCCTTCTCTTTGGTTCATGGGAGTGAAAAACAAGAATTTATTAAATTCTAAGCAAAAAATAGTACTGTGAAATAAGTTAAACTAAATGACAAATACAAAGTGAAAAGAAGATCTCAAAAACCTAAAACGGTTCACATGGGTGATTGTGCGACCACCCTTAGCGCCTTTTGGTGGGAGCTGCGCTGTCCGCGCATTGCTTAGCGCATTGCCCCCTGTTTGACCCCCGCATGCGCCCTAACTGAAACGTCAAACGAAAATACGAAGATTAAAACTGAGTGCCGTCCACGGTCTACAAATAGAGAAGATCAGATAATTTCAATCAAACCGGTTTTTGTCAAGAAGTCTTAAAAACTAAGCCGACACTATAAGAATCTTTTCGTTACTTTTCCTTCTTATCTTAATCAAGTTGTAATTTTCTTAAGTCGTATCTATAAAGGTGATAAAGTTCCGTGCAAACGGACGCAACATTGTTGGATATTACATGTTGCGTCCGTTTACAACCATGTTGCATGTTGCTGCGTGTTCTTGGGAGTTGTTGCGGCAAAGTTTGAAATCGGTCAAACGGACACATTAACTCCCAACTCTTAAAGTTGAAAAAGGAAAAGAAAATCTTGATTTTGTGGTTTCGTCCTCGATCGATATTAAAAACTTAAATTTAGTCTGCCAAAGGCAGTCACGGTAGAGAAATGTAGAAATCCAAAAAAGTGTAATGCACCTGCAGAGTTGTTGTTTTGCTTTTAAAACCTACTTTTTTATGTTCTTTTTTACGTAGAGATGTTTTTGTTAGCCTGTAAAACAGCCTTTGTCTTGTTGTTGTCGTTTTACTTTGTTTTTTTTCTATACCCGGTGGCTCCTGGAGAAAAAAATTGACGTCTGTTCTGGAGTGAAGGCCTCAGGTAAAAAGGAAGCCTTCGATCTGACTTTTTATTCCAGGTGTCAATTTTTCTAAGGCACTGGGACGACTGTGATCAGTTTTAAAACACAGTTGACGACGCCGATAAATCCGTTAGTAGAACTCCGCGGAATGTGTTCCTTACTTCTAAATTATTTGCCTTCCCTTCCCACTATTTCGTTTTAAAAGTATCAACGGAGTTGACGTTCGGACCTGTTTCAGTGCCCTCATAAATGAGAACGAGCCCGATCTCTCCGGTGTTAGGTGCCTAACGGATGTAAACTAAATTATGATTCTATCCAGTTCCTCTCTTCCCGGTCTTTTAGGAGTGTTTTGCCTTATTATTAGTTTAATTTCTTTCTTTTCTTTTGTCGGATCTGAAAGCCAACATCGTTTGTGTTTACGTTGTTTCATCACAAGCGTCACTAAAAGAGGAAAATAACAGGAAATACCAACGAAAGAAAAGATGTAAAGAAAGACCTTCTCGCCCACTCCCTTGCCTCTATGTAAAACGCCCTCAAACCACTCGCGGTATTAATCACTTTCATTTGTTTTCTAATAATGACCTACTTTGGGACACAGGAAACATGCACGCCCCCACTCTGACTCATTCAGTTTATGTTACCTTGGCATCTGGATTTAACAATTGGGGCCGCTACATCACAGGACGAAACACATTCGAGTTTTCGTTAAGTCCTAAGGGTGATCTACATAAATTTTCTTCACCTTCCGCAGTGGTGACAGCACTCGCCTCCCACCAAAGTGGCCCGGATTCAAATCCCGGCGTGGACATCATACGTACGCTGATGTTGTTGTTGGTTCTCTCCCTTTCTCCGATAGGTTTTTCTCCGCGTACTCCGGTTCCCCCCCTCCCCCCCCTCCCCCTTTCCTCAAAACCCAACATTATTATTTTCACATTAGCCAAGACGAAAGGTAACGAGATTTCTTAAAATAATCATTAAAGAGAAATGTTTTAATCACTCCTCAAAATCTCTCAACCAATTCTTGAAAGGAAATAAAAGATCAGTCTGGAAAATTTTTTGGTTTGTGGGCGCTAGTTTCACAGACGAGGCTTCTTACATTCCTTGTAACTTCATGTGAAGGAAAGGGGTAACAGCATCTTAGGGCGACGACTGTACCCAAGTG